CAATATGACTATCTCTGTGCTTGAGAGGAAAATGAGGCTGGGAAGTGGCCAGACTTTACACCTCCAGGGAACCAGGCAAGTCGTAAGTGGAAGAAAACATAGTTCAAATTGTAGACCATTATGAAGACTATAAGGGGGCTGTGGGGAGTAATAAAGAAAATGACTGAAGAGACAATGAAAAGGGCCGAAGTAGAAAATGTAGATAAGCCCTTTTCTCAGGATATGTGGATGCATATATTCTATAATGTTCATTAATATCAACCTTAAGGGAGACTGGGAAGAAATGGACATCCAAGTTTTTTTTTTTGTTTTTTTGTTTTTGTTTTTTTGAGATGGAGTCTTGCTCTGTCACCCAGGCTGGAGTGCAGTCACACGATCTTGGCTCACCGCAACCTCCACCTCCCAGGCTCAAGCGATTCTCCTGCCTCAGCCTCCCAAGTAGCTGAGATTTCAGGCACGTGCCACCATGCCTGGCTCATTTTTGTATATCTAGCAAAAACAGGGTTTCCCCATGTTAGCCAGGATGGTCTCAATCTCCTGACCTCATGATCCGCCCATCTCGGCCTCCCAAAGTGCTGGGATTACAGGCTTGAGCCACCGCGCCCGGCCGAGACTCCATTTCTTAAAAGAAATTAAGTGACTCAGTAATTGCAAGCCTTTTTTTTCTGCCTTCACTAACATGCACAATCTAATTTACTAAGAGAAGCTGACTACAGCGCAAGGGTTGTTGGTGGTAGTGGTGTTTATACCCACTAAGGGCAATATGTAGTTTGAAAGAGCTTTGCACTGAGAATTTTGCCAGTTGTTTGGTACTGTGAAAAACATCTAGTTTAGAAAACAAAATGACCTTTATTATTATTATTATTATTATTGTTATTAGGGCATTGTTTGTGTTTTCATGTTTTTGCTTTATTCTAAACAGATAAAGCTAATTGGACTTTTTAAAGTTAGGTCACTTGTAGCCTAGTTGAAACACAACGTAAAATCATTTAAAAGCATATTTAATTATTAAACTTACAGTAATGTTTTAAGTATATTTAACTTTCTAAAAATGACAGTTTTGCAAGTAAACCAAATTATCTGTGATTTTTGATATAAGAGCGATCTATCATTTAGAGCTGTGAAATAATAAAAAGCTATATACTTTTCTAGTTTTCTTTTTTTTTTTTTTACTTTTCTAGTTTTCTTTAGTATCTTATTTTTCTCTGAAAGTATCCATGTTTCTCTATGACTAGCTCTCTTTCTAGAACTCTCTGGTAGGCTATGGAATTATTTTATCTTGGGGTCATTGTTGTTTCCTTTAATAAATCTGAACCCCTAGGTTTGCTTGTGTTGTATTAAATAGCTAGTTGTTCATCCCTGGTGTTTCTGCTAAACTCCCAGAGACATCTGTGGCTCTGTGCAGAGGCCAACAACAAAACTGGTTTATATGCTTATTTCCAGGGGAACTGGAGCACTACCCTGGGGTTTGGAATGTAAGGAAGGCATTAATTGTAGCTTTTGGCACCGATTTACCCTTATGCTGTTAGGTAAATAAATCTAGTTGGTACCAGGTCTAGTGGCTGAGCCTGTTAAGTTATCACTATCACCAGTTTCATGACTTTGGGTGGCGGGCCACTTCCCAAAGTCCTTGAGCCCAAGTTAGGTGTTCCTCCTTTATGCTGTCATTGAAGCCCTCTCCCAATAATATACCCTGTACCCTGCTGTTAATTTCAGTTTGCCTGCAATCAGATGATTAGGTAAAATCTGACCAAGTAAATCTTTGGAATGTCTAATTGACAAGGAGGAAATCTAAATTACACTTTTTTTTTCTCTTTTTTTCAAAAGAGATAATCATTCAGGTCTTTGTGAGCTAAGGCCAAACAAACAAAAGAACACTTGCTTTGATGGACTGAATACTGTTATTAGAAGTAAATATGGAAAATGAACCAGACCATGAAAATGTGGAACAGAGCCTCTGTGCCAAGACGAGCGAAGACGAGCTGAATAAGTCCTTCAATCTAGAAGCTTCACTTTCAAAATTCTCTTACATAGATCTGGACAAGGAACTGGAGTTCAAAAATGATCTGGTAAAAATTTCAACTTTTGTCAAGTGATAATGTTTAACCATTGTTGGTTAGAGTATGCTTTGTGACCCAGAGGCTCTAAGTCTGTCGTTTTTGCATGGGTTAATAGGAGTCTGTGTATAGTTTTTTTGTTTGTTTGTTTTTTGCTTTTTTTTTTTGTTTTTTTGGATACAGGGTCTCACTCTGTTGTCCAGGTTGGAGTACAGTGGTGCAGACATGGCTCACTGAAGCTTCAACCTCCTGGGCTCAAGTGATCCTCCCGCCTCAGCCTCCCAAGTAGCTGGGACCACAGGTGTGTGCCACCACGCCCACCTAACTTTTAATTTTTTTGTAGAGAGGGTCTCGCCGTGTTGCCCAGGCTTGTCTCAAACTCCTGGACTCAAGCACTTCTCCCTTCTTGACCTCGCATGTGTGTAGTTTTATGAGATGACATTACTCTTCATTTGTATAGTCCATTACAGTTTATGAAACAATTTGATTCATGTTGTCATTTGAGCTTCACAACTCTCACAACACTCTGATAATCCATTGTGTAGATGAAGACACTGGCGTGCAGCTATGTAAATGACTTCTCAAAGTCACAGAGCCAGTGGTAGGTTCCTTATCTTGCACAGCATTTTTTTCTCCCTTTGATTTAATATTATGTTAATGGGTTTCTGTGAGTATGAGGATATTTAATGACAAGTTGCTTGACCTAATTATCTCTCACCATAATTTATGAAATAACTAAGAAATATGATGTCAGACTTTTGCTTATTGCTTATGACTTATGCCTAAACTTAGAAAATTAGGGGTTTTCTTAGATGTTGTTTTGTCATGTTTAAGAAAGCAGATGCAGAAGTCTTTCAACAGAAGTTTTCTGGAAAGTAGGCTGGGCGTAGTGGCTCATGCCTGTAATTCCAGCACTTTGTGAGGCTGAGATGGGCGGATCACTTAAGGTCAAGGGTTCAAGACCAGCCTGGCCTTATGGTGAAACCCCACCTCTACTAAAAATACAAAAAAAATTAGCCGGGTGTAGTGGCGTGTGCCTGTAATCCCAGCTCCTCAGGAGGCTGAGGCAGGAGAATTGCTTGAACCTGGGAGGCGGAGGTTGCAGTGAGCTGAGATCGCACCATTGCACTCCCCTGGGCATCACAGCGAGACTCTGTCTCAAGAAAAAAAGCGTTCTGGAAAGGGCTGTCAGGATAGTGCAGTTAGTGCATATATGTCCTTGATAGTAACTGAATGTGTAGATAGGAAAGGAAATCACTCTGTAGTCTTGACTTGATTATTACTATGGATTTTTGAGTTGATCATTGTGGTGGTAAGTTTGTCTTTTAATTGATGGTGATTTTAATAAACTGAAACCCCTCACAGTTATAAAGGGAAAGGCATCATTTTGTGAGCATTATTTTTTTTCTTTGTTTAGATTGATGACAAGGAGTTTGATATTCCTCAAGTTGATACTCCTCCAACACTGGAAAGCATACTAAATGAGGTAAGTGAATATTAATGATTATTGTCATTTCGTGGCATTAATCTTAATACTTTTTGGATTAGTTATAAATGCACCTAGATGCGCACTATCCAGTAGGGTAGCCACTAGTCATGTGTGTCAGTTTAAAATTTAAATTAATTATAATCAAATACAAATTTAATTCCTTGGCTGTACAAGGCACATTTCAAGTGCTCAATAGCCACGTGTGGCTAGCGGCTACTATGTGGCTAGGGGACAGCATAGATAAAGAGTATTTCCATCATCACAGGAAGTTCTCTTGGATAGCAGTAGTCTAGATTGTGAGCTTCTCAAGGGCATAAACCATCTCTTGTTCATCTTTAGTCTCTGTGCTCAGAACAATGCCTAATACTTGGCAGACTTTAAAATATATATTATTAAGTGAATTGAGATGCAAAATTTATGTCACTTTTGAGGTTTGTATTATGTGTTGCTAATGGTTAAGTTTTCTCTACCACTGATATTCAAATAGCTTGTCCTCTGACACTAAAGAACATCTTGCAACCTTATAATAAGCTTCATCACTCTTCTACATGGAGAAAACTAATCTTTTATAGTTTATCTTATGAATGCCATTTCTATTGAAAAGTTTTTCAGAGTTTTGAAATGATGTTATTCTTTTCTGAATTGGGAGATGAAAGGCTTTCTAAAGGGGCTCTGTGAGAGTCCATGGTTGGTGAAGCACGCCTGTTTTATGTACCCTGCATCTGCTGACAACCCTTCAACTCAGTCTTCTTCATCTTTTAAAACCTTGCTTGGGACTTCCCTTGGAGGTTTTAGCTTCTAATTTGAGAAAGACCTTGCAATGTATAAATCTATTTCAAATCCGCAGTTATATTTTCCAAAAGATAAGGACCCAAAAGTTCCCCGACAAAAATGCCCACGTATACCAAAGCTCTGAGTGAGTTGGGCCTCTGTCTATCCTATTAGGGTTATAGGCAACACTTTATAGGATACAAACTACTTTCTCTGTCAATTGTGTCTTTTGTTTTTCTCATATGGCTTTTATTTCTGTTTTTTATATCAGTTTGATGTTGCTGTTACTTTGAATGTATTTTAACTTTGAATGTGTTTTAACTTCAGAAGTGTTCTATATGTTCTGTGTGAAGACTTAGGCATTTTTAGTTTTGACAAAGAAGGCTTTGGTCCATGAAAGAATATTCTGTTACAGTGAAATGTCCTTTATTTACTTTCTAATATAGAGGAAATCTTTCATTTAGAGGTGAGAAGATTAATTTTAGTCAGTTTTGTTAAAATGGCCTTAATTGCATCCTCATTTCAATTATCTTATTAAGTGTAAAATAAAAATAATCTTAGAGGACTGTGTATAAGGCCTTGTTTGTACATCATTATATAATATCAGCAAAGAAAATAATGCTCATATGAATGAGCTGTAGTTCCCAATGAAGGAAAACTGTTCTTGCACAATAACTTTCTTATCTATGAGTAACAGTAAGTATAGTCATTAGTGGTTTACTAAGAAGATAACACAATTATCATCCTCAATAGTAGTTTGAGTGCCTGGTGTATTTGGGTCATGGTGTTAGATGTCGGGGTTATAAAGTACAATATGACTATCTCTGTGCTTGAGAGGAAAATGAGGCTGGGAAGTGGCCAGACTTTACACCTCCAGGGAACCAGGCAAGTCGTAAGTGGAAGAAAACATAGTTCAAATTGTAGACCATTATGAAGACTATAAGGGGGCTGTGGGGAGTAATAAAGAAAATGACTGAAGAGACAATGAAAAGGGCCGAAGTAGAAAATGTAGATAAGCCCTTTTCTCAGGATATGTGGATGCATATATTCTATAATGTTCATTAATATCAACCTTAAGGGAGACTGGGAAGAAATGGACATCCAAGTTTTTTTTTTTGTTTTTTTGTTTTTGTTTTTTTGAGATGGAGTCTTGCTCTGTCACCCAGGCTGGAGTGCAGTCACACGATCTTGGCTCACCGCAACCTCCACCTCCCAGGCTCAAGCGATTCTCATGCCTCAGCCTCCCAAGTAGCTAGGATTACAGGCGCCCGCCACCATGCCCAGCTAATTTTTGTATTTTTAGTAGAGACAGGGTTTCACCATCATGTTGGCCAGGCTGGTCTCAAACTCCTGACCTCAAGTGATCTGCCTGCCTCAGCCTCCCAAAGTTCTGGGATTACAGGCATGAGCCACCATACCTGGCCAATACTTTTTAAAGTAGAAATGTAGAGATTACTGAGACATCCTGGATCTCAGAATTTAGGGCATGAAATAATGTTACTAGATATTGCCATCCTTAGAAACTATGCTGCTTCTGAGATTTTAAATTTTGAAATTCCATTCTCTAACTATCACCTTTTTCCCCTATTCCCTTCCATTGAACCTGTGTTTTGGCCTCATTAAGATCAAGTCTGTTGACCCTTTCTAATCTCCCAGTCTCTGATAATAGTCCTGGGTTTACTTCAATCCTGCTATTGGATTGTACAGCCAGAAATTTCTTTTGAACTTTTCATTGAAGTATATCATACATAGAGGAAGGTACACAAATCATAAGTGTACAGTGTGGTGAATGTTAACAAACTGAACAACCTGTGTAACCAGAATCCAGATAAAGCAACAGAACATTACTAGTACCCCAGAAGCTCATCTTGTGTCCTTTTAGTTCCCAAACCCAGAGTAATTACTACTCTAACTTCTACTAGCATTGATTACTTTGCCTGCTTTGAACTTTATATAAATGGAATTATATAGTGTGTAGTCTTCTGTTTCTGACGTCTTTTCCTTAGTATTATGTTTTTAGATTTGTTCACATTGCTGTGTAAAATTCTTTGTGAATATACCTTTATTCATTCTACTATTGATATGTATTTGTGTAGTTTCTAATTTCTGGCTACTATGAATGCTGCTGTAAATTTTCCTATTCGTGTGTTTTGGCATATACATACTTACACACATTTCTGGGTTTTGTCTGTTTTCATTTTGTTTTTTTTGAGACAGTCTCACTCTGTCACCCAGGCTGGAGTGCAGTGGTATGATCAGGGCTCACTGCAACCTCCTCCTCCTGGGTTCAAGTGATTCTCGTGCCTCAGGCTCCCAAGTAGCTGGGACTACCAGCATGTGCCACCACACGTGGCAAAGTTTTTTGTATTTTTATTAGATACGGGGTTTTGCTATGTTGGCCAGGCTGGTCTTGAACTCCTGACCTCAGGTGATCTGCCTGCCTTGGCCCCCCAAAGTGCTGGGATTACAGGCATGAACCACTGTTCCCAGCTTTATAAACATTTCTGTTGGGCATATACCTAGGGGTGGAATTAGTGGCTCATCAGGTATAGTTATATTCAGCTTTAGTATATATTGGCACAGGTTTTCAAAGTGGTGGTTTGATATATACTTCCAGGAACAGCGTATGAGATTTCTGATTACTATATCCTTGTAAACTTTTGAATTTTTCTGTCTTTTTCACTTTCATTCTTTTTTTTTTTTTTTTTTTTTTGAGACAGAGTCTTACTTTGTCACCCAGGCTGGAGTGCAGTGGCGCGAAATCGGCTCACTGCAAGCTCCGCCTCCCGGGTTCACGCCATTCTCCTGCCTCAGCCTCCGAGTAGTTGGGACTACAGGCCGCACACCACCACGCCCGGCTAATTTTTTGTATTTTTAGTAGAGACGAGGTTTCACCGTTTTAGCCAGGATGGTCTCGATCTCCTGACCTTGTGATCCGCCCGTCTCGGCCTCCCAAAGTGCTGGGATTACAGGCGTGAGCCACCGCGCCCGGCTTCACTTTCATTCTTAACAGATGTGTAGTGCTATCACATCATGGTTTTAATTTGAATTTCCCTAAAGACTAATGAAATTGGGTACTTTGACATATGTTTAGATATCTCTTTTGCGAATTGCTTTTTCATATAATTAGCCCACTTCTGTTGTTTTATTTTTTAAGTGATTTATAGGAGTTCTTTATGTATGCTAATACAAGCCCTTTATTTGATATACATATTGCATCTTCTTTCTTTCTGTACATTACCTTTTCACTCTATTAATAGTTTCTTTTGAGGAGCACAAGTTCTTAATATAGTTCAGCTTATTAAAAATTTCCATTTGTGTGCATGTGTGTGTCCTATTTAAGAAAATTTTTCCAATTCCAAGGTTATGATGATGTTACCCTATTTTGTTCTAACATTTTCATTGTTCCTGTCATATGCAGATCTGTAATTCATCTGGAATTATTTTTGGGTGTGATAGTGTGAGCTATGAGCCAGCACCATGTACTAAAAAGAGTATTCTCATCTGGTGTCACTTTTGTTATAAATCAGGTGGATATATAAATATGTGTGGATCTGAGTCCATTGGTGTGTCCATACTTGCCTCAATCTCACATTCTAGTGATTGAAACTTTGTAATAGGTCTTGGTATCTGGTAGTTCAAAAACTTTCAGCTTTAATGTTATTCAAGATTGCCTTTTTTTTTTTTTTTTTTGCATTTTCATGTAAGTTTTAGAATTAGTTTATCAGTACACACACACACACACACACACAAATCAGCTGAAATTTGAAAGGATTGTGCAGTTTTTTTCACATCAGTTTGGGGATAATTGATACTTTTGCTGTGCAGCAGTAGTTTTAAATTCAGTCTTGACATCTTCGCTTCTTTTTTTCCCTTCACTTTTTCTTTCACTTATCTTGTAAGCCTGACTTAATTCATCTGATCCATTTTCTTTAATTATGTCCCCAGACTTTTTAAGAAAATCAAATAACATTTTGATTGACTCTCTTGTTTAAGATCTTGATGCTGCCATACTTATTTCTGAATTATTTCCTTCCCTTTTCCTACAGCAATTGTTCCAATCTTTACAGCACTCAAGCAACATATTGTCTTATTGCCAGTCCTAACCCTGTTCTTAGAAGACCTATGTGTAGAGATATCTGGAAAGCAGTTATAAATTTGGACCTAAACCTTGAGAAATGTTGATACTAAAGACACAGATTTTGGAGTCATTAGATAACATGGTTCTTAAAGCTATAGATATGGGTGAGCTTACTCAAATAGGAAGTACATGAAGTAGGAAGAGAAGAAGAGAGCTTAGAGTATAATCCTGAGGGACAGTCGTATTTAAAGGTTGGGCTGAGAAGAAGCTAGCATGTGACTAATAGGAGGACACATAAATTAGCGGAGAACCAGGAAGGAGAGATGTACCGAAAACCAAAGGAAAAGAAAATTTCAAGATGTAGGGAATGAGCCAGGCGTGGTGGCATGCACCTGTAGTCCCAGCTACTTGGAGGCTGGAGTGGAGGATTGCTTGAGTCCAGGAATTTGAGGCTCCAGTGAGCTGTGATTGTGCTGCTGCATACTGGCCTGGGTGACAGGGAATGGTCAACAGGGTTAAATGATGTCTGGAGGACAAGAACACACTAACAGAAAGCAGACCAGTAGATTTGGCTAGTAACATCAGCAAGGTTGGTAGGAGCTTGTAATGAGTGGAGTCGAGGTAGTGAGTAGACATTAATCTTTCAAGCACATTGATTGGAAATGGTAAGGCAGAAGGTAGTGCAGCTGAAAGAGACGGTGAGACATCATTCTCTGATATTTGTCACCCAGAATCAACTTGTGCAAAGCCAAGTACCTCATCCTGCTTTATCTGCCATTTGTCTGCTTTCTAGTTTCAGTGAGTAGAATCACCCTTTGCCTAGTTGTAGAAGCTGGAAACCTTGTACTCTTCTTTGACTTCTCCCTTACCTCTCCTCCCATCTGTACCCCTACTCAATCCCCCATTTCAATGGTAACCAGAGACGTTTGATTTTTTCTCAGTAATGTGTTTCATCATTCCCTCTGTTGACCTCTTCTGCAGCTTCTTAGGTTGGGATCTCCTGTTTCTCCTTGATAGTGCAATGGCCCTCTTACTGGTCCTTAAAGTCTTCTTGTTTCCCCTCATCCATTCTTCATACTGCCCCACTTATCTTTCTAAAACATGGTTCCCATCATGTCTTTCCACTTCTTAAAAATGTCAGTTGCCTTCCCACTGCCTGCTATATATAGTATACTGAATACTCATTAAATGAGTACTGGTTATGTGTCAGGCATTATACTAGGCACTAGAGGTACAATGATGAACAAGATAGACATGGGCCCTGCTGCCATCTAGTGTAATGGAATATAAGGCTTTTTATGGTTCGGGTACCAGCTTATCTTTCTAGGGTCATCTCCAGCTTCTGCTTATATCCTCCAGACATTTTGGACTACTACTTTTCCCATGGACAAAATCTGTATTGTGAAATCACTGAGTCTTTCTGTGCTGTTTCCAACCCGAATGCCTTTCTGCTGTCTGCTTGTCATATTTTTTTATAGTAGACTATTTATAGTCAGATGGTGTTTGTTTTCTTCAAATGAGCCATTGGCTGTTAGTTAACTGCTAAATCATCTGTAAAAGCTTGATTTTTAAGAAATATTCTATAGCTAACAGTAATCTGCATAACGGCTTCTGCTTCTTCCTGCTACTAGAAAGAAGTTTTTGGGGTGACTTCTTTGTAGAAAGAAATAGCTATCTAGAATTTAATACTAATAATTCTGTATGGTGCCTTTCTGGTCAATAAGAATGCATGGAATGAAGGTGAAAGGCAGAAATAAGCACTTGTGTGCTCTGGAGAAACTCATTAATACCTGTCTTATTTCATAGAGTATTTGGATTTTGAATGTATTGATTTATCTTCTTCCAATTTAGACTGATGATGAAGATGAGTCTTTTGTTCTTGAGGATCCTACATTGTTAAACATTGATACTATTGATTCTCACTCCTATGATACTTCATCTGTGGCAAGCTCAGATAGTGGTGACAGGACCAACTTAAAGAGGTAGGTTTTCATGTAAATCATACTTGCTTACAGTTGAAGTATTTAATTGTTTCAAATGTAAATATTGTACTCTATTGTACTTTTTAAAGTACAATATGGTCTGTTGAAGCCTTGCATAGGAAGTAGAAGGGATATAATATCTTGAAGATTTTGGCACCATTAAGGAAGAAGGTAAAAGGGTAGGTGCTATGACCACTTTGGTAGGAAGCCATAATGATAGCCAGGGACTCCTGGAAGCAGGAGAGCCCTTGGAGGAAGTACAGATTAAACCTGGCACAGTGTCTGTGGTGGAAACATGCAGCTCGGTTCACTACCCTTCTGTTCTGCGCACCCTCCCGCACCTCCCTGTCACCTGCATTCTCTGAGATCGGCCTTCATTCTCTTGGAGTGGGTTCAGAGAATCACAAAGATGATTAAAATTTCAGGAAAAAGACTTCTAAACCTAAATAACTTAAATTTGGGCTGCTTTTCACCTTCCAATTCTTGGAGAGAATATGAAAAGGAAAGAGAAGTGGAGAAATCATAAATACATTATTGAAGTCATGTGTAACTTCAATATTGATAAAGTGATCTGTTTTTCTTCTTCAATTTTGCCGGTGTCAGTGCCCTTTTCTTTAGGTTATCTCTTATGGGATAGGGGACGTTGCTGAACAGGACGTTATGTTAACCTGTTCAGCAATGTGTCCTTCAAATAGATAACTTAAATGTTTTTGATGATCTGGTTACTACCTGCTTAAAAGATATGGTGTCATTGGCCAGGCGTGGTCTCTCACGCCTGTAATCCCAGCACTTTGGGAGGCTGAGGCAGGCGGATCACGAGGTCAGGAGATCAAGACCATCCTGGCTAGTACGGTGAAACCCCGTCTCTACTAAAAATTCAAAAAATTAGCTGAGTGTTGGGGCAGGTGCTTGTAGTCCCAGCTACTCGACGGGAGGCTGAGATAGGAGAATGGCATGAATCTGGGAGGCAGAGCTTGCAGTGAGCCAAGATCACGCCACTGCACTCCATCCTGGGTGACAGAGGGAGACTCCATCTCTAAATAAATAAATAAATAAATAAATAAAAAGATATGGTGTCAGCTTGTCACCTACAAGATTAAGTCAGAACTCCTCTGCATGGGCTCAGTCTGGGCCATGCTTACTGTTTTGACCTAATCTCTAAGCAGTCGTACTTCAGCCCTCCTAGTCCATACCTTTTGTGTGTGTATACCCTAGACACACTGCACACCTTTACATCTTCATATTTCTGCCCATGCTTTTTGCCTGACAAACTCCTAGTCATCCATTAAGGTCAAATTAGTCATCTTCTCTTTTCTATAGCTATCCTTAATGTCCCCCAAATAAACAGAATTAAACTGCTCTTCATTTGCATTTATATGGCATTTAATTCATATTTCTAGTGTAACATTCATTCTTTAGAGTTACTTCTCAGCCTCTCTAAGCTGTGAGATCCTTGACAGTAGTAACTGTGACTTTCTTATTTTTGTATTCCCAGAGCATACTTCTAGTCATACAGAGTAGGTGCTCAGTAATGTTGGGTAAAAGTTTAAAAGTTACTTTTTATATGAGGATGAGTAGAAGGGGGATTTGAGGAAGTGGTTGAAGAATGAGAGGATGGTCATAGGAGGAGCAGCAGCGCAGGAAAGGTGAGCAAGGGTAAGAAGGCAGTAGGGTAATGTAGACTTGCAGGCCGGAGGAGTGCGCTGTAGTCAGGCTTCTGGAGAACATGAGAACCTACTGTCGCATTGCCTAAGGTGGGCATGGAGCAGTTTGAATCGTGAGAAAGGAATGGTGATTTGATTCATTTTCCTGCTTGTGCTTCTTTGAGGTTCAAGGCGGGTTTAATACATTTTAAGGTGAGATTGTTAGATACTTCATACATCTTTTAAAAACAGATCTAACAAGTAACATACAATGTTGTCTTCTGCTTTTTGTGCGTGTGTGTTTTCTTTCAAAGCATTGGGACCTCGCCTTTTCACTTTTTTTGTCTGTTTTTAAATGTTTTTCTTTATTTTTAGGAAGAAGAAATTACCTGATTCTTTTTCACTCCATGGATCAGTTATGCGCCATTCACTTTTGAAGGGAATTTCTGCCCAGATAGTGTCTGCAGCTGTAAGTATTTTGTTTTTTTTCCCTCAACTTTGTAACCTGCAATGGCATAATAAAGTAGGAATGAGCATAAAACAAAATACAGCACTTCTCTTGGCCCGAGGCTTAAGAAAAATAGAATCTGGCTTTCATGGTTTTTGTGTGACATGGCTACACGTCTTGACATAGAAATTAGTGCAGCCATGAAAATAAAGTTCTGCTCAGAGTCTAGGCTGTGCCTAAATGAAATATAGCAGCAAACCGAAAATAAATACTGTCTTTTCTTTAAATTCCTTTTCAGTTTAGTTGCCATCTTGTGTATTTGTTGAGATTCTGTGCTTGGTTTTTTTTTTTTTTTTTTTCACTCTTTTCATATGGGGAAATGATCAGAATCTTTTACAACTTGAATGATTTTTTTATAATTCACAAAAGTATTTTCATGCCCCTTATTTCTTTTATTCTTACAACTTGGAAAGTAGGTAAAGCTGTTTTCTATTTTACAAATGAGAAGATAGGCCCAGAAAGGTGATAGTAACTTGTCTTAGATCATTCTGTTAGGAGGTAGCAAGGCATTTATTCAAAACTGGGGTTTCTGGCTTCAAGTGTAGTGCCTCTGTTGTGAACTGGAGGTGGCACTGGTGAATGTGGCGAATGTGTGAAATGGCTGGAACAGAATATTTGTGGCCTTTTTTGAAAATTATGTAGAGCACTGGGTTAACGTAAACAGTATTTAACGGTCCATAGATGGCAGACTTTTCGTTTGACACTATCAGACTTTTCTTTTGACCTCACAGCCGGTAGTTTTATGTAGTCTTTCAGTTTTGGTTTTCTGAATACAATGTATAGATTCTATATATAATGATAATGACAGATTTATACTCCAGGAAGTTTGATGTGTTTTTATGTTCTTTTTGGGGCATTTAATCGGCATTTTGCATATCCAAGTTGGACAAGAAATAAAAGTGGATTTTTCACGAGGGTGAGAGATTGATACAGAATTACAAGATACCACAATTGCATTTCAATTTTCAGGTTTATCAGAAAAAGCCCTTAGTGCAAATACCAAAAAAAAAAAAGTATTTACTATTACAATTGATGTATCCTGACCTAGCTCATATATCATGAAGTAAATTTAAATAGAGAGATGCTCAACAAGCAATGGAGGAAACCTGGGCAATTGTTTTTCCTCTTTTAGGTGGAGAGTAACTCATATTTGCTAGAATGGGAACCACCTGTTGAGGATTACATTTCCATGACGTTTTCTGAATTTAATCCTTATGTAGGTGATGAAATTCATTCCTTTCAAAATCAAGATGAACCAGAACAGTCATTTGACCCACCTGTGCAGTTTTAAAAATATTTTGAATATTGGAGACTGAGCTAAAACTCAGACTCTGAACAATGATTAGATAAATCTGTTATTTAAAAGGGTTTCTCCTTCCCCTTGAAGAGGAGGGGAAATTCTAATAAATCCCAGAGTGTTTGCATTCTGTTTTTATTTCATTGCTATGGCTGAGCTCCTTTGGTATGTTAAAATGAAAACTGCCTTTCCTGTGACAGTCATCATACGGTGCCTTCCTATTTTTGGATTACCAGCTCAATTTAAATTGCATGCTTTCCTGTGATGGTTGGTTTATTAACATGTAAAGCTAGTTATATTTTTGGATATTTCTTCCTGAATAATTGCTCAATAGCGCCTTCAGCCATGTGGTTAGTGATGTTATTAGGCCTGCTTTGGGCCTTGATCACAGTTTTGGGGTTCATGCATGGAAAACACTTAGGAGAGATGAAATTTTTGCAGTTGTGAAGCTCGTTTTTTAATTTGGGATCCTTTTCAAAGTCGTATGACATGTGACCATACTTTAAAATAATTCAAAGTAACTTTTTTTTTTTTTTTAAGGATCTTTATTATTTTTACGATCAACTTTAAAATACTAGAGATAGCTTATTGTAGTGTTTTTTTCAAAATGCGTCCGCTGTATAACAATCTCCTAGGGTACTGATTAAATTGCAAATTCCTGGGGCTCACCCCAGACCTAAAGAATCCCAGACATACAGGCATCCCAGGTGATTCTCATGCATTTTAGCTTTTGAGACCCACTACCCTTAGATATTGCAACAGCAGTACTAAAATTCTGTAATCTCTACAATGCTTCCAAATATCTGTGTTTTTTTAGCTTTTGAAGTCAGGCGACTTCTGATTTCATTATTCAGGCTCTATTTTGAATGTAGAATAGGCCTTGGAATAACATCATTTTGTTCAATGTCGTTTTGTTATAATGTTAATGAAGAAAAAACAATTGGTTTAAGTTGTTTTGCTTAAAGTCACAGTTTTCAAGAACTTACTGACAACATTAAGTGAGGTCTTACTAGAGTTTATGACCTTTATCTGCTGTCCCATTTCTCTTTTTCCCTGTCTAGATGCAAATTAATCATTTATCAACTATGTATTACATGCTTCTTAATTGTCGAGCATTATGTTAGGCATGTTTGACACACAGATATATATATACACTCAAAGTTGGATAGATGCTGCTATATGCAAGCTCTTTGCTACTACAGTACTGTATCACTACAAACTCTTAGGGTTATTTAAAGCTATGTAAGCATAGAATTGATACTCTTCCATATTTATCTGATTCTTCACATTTAATTTGATCCTCAGGACAGCTCACTGAGGTAAACAGGGCAGTATTTGCTATTTCTTTGAACAGATGAGGAGACTAATACTCAGAAAAGTTAGGTGACTTTTTGAATGCCATGTAGTTACTGGTAGGGAGGTGGGACTAGCACTTCTTTATGTTTTAATTTCTTATGCTTGAGAACTGACTTAATATACCCTGTTGGGGTTTATTTAGAGGTTATTGGGTAATTGCTAGATAGGAAAGTCCTACTTAGTAGTAGAAACATCTTTAGCATGTTTACTTTTCTCAAATCTTTATGTACTCCTACCTTTTTGACCCCATAGTACTTATAGTTTATTCAAGTACAGAAAATGGAACATCTTTCCTCTTTTTCCTTTGCATTTCCATTATAATCAGTACCCTCCCTGAGGCATCTTACTTCGTAAAGGCACTTATATACTTAGTAAAATAAAGCAATCCTCTTTCATGCCCTTTGTATTTTGTTGGTATATATAGCTTTTGTGATTTCTCTTAGATGGGGGCAAAAATAAAGGTTCCACCTCTAATCGAAATTGATTTGGACCAAAGTGTATGGAAAGCAAGAGCCTTATACAATTTTCTGTTTTAAAAGTGAGAATATTTTTCAAATACTTTCTTTAAAATTTCATTTAGGACAAAGTAGATGCTGGCTTGCCTACAGCAATTGTAAGTATACTTGAACTTTTTAAAGGTAAGCTTTTTATTTGATTGGGTTTTCTTAGATTTATTATTACATGGTTCAAAATATTACGTAAGTTATTATGGTAATAAATTCATAAGTCATTTTACTACCAGTAATCAGGCTTAACATTTGTCCATGTTGGGTGCTTTCTTTTTTCCTAATTTTTTACTTTTTAGGGTTTTGTTTGAGAAGCAGATAATGGAGTAATACTAGCCCTCTCCAGGTTTGTTTGTGGTACCACCCTGCCCAAGTAAATTTACTTCTTCTGTGATTTGGCTCCCCTTCCATAAGGAGTGGAAAGCATCATTTCATAGAATCACTTTGTGGTAAATAGCACATTTAACAGCTCTGGATTCCGTTGGCAGGCTTGCCAAATAGAACTCTGCTGCAGTATTGTAGAGAACTAGGGGATATTGAAAACATACTGGTTCTCTCTCTTCTTGTCGTCCTCCAGTGCCTTTTTAGCTTTCCTTTTAGTCAGTCTTTGGTAAGGAAGTGGGTGAGTTTTCAACACTTTGGATGCCTTTAGGCTCCTGTGGATAAACTAGAGAATTGTGTTCTCATCTCTTCCCTAGGCCTTGTAGGAAGCTCTTGGTTGGGTAGCATAAATGCCTCTTACTTTGCCTGGACCCCTGAGTTTTTATTTGAAAGTTGCTTTAGAGGAAGCTAAGTGGCATGTTATTGCCTATAATGTTGAACATATGATATTTTGATAGTGTTACTCCTAGAGTAAATTTAGAGGGATTCTGAGAAATAAAATGTCCTGAGTTTCATTTCCCGTTTTGCCTCCTGGATGAAATTCTTCTTATTTACAATAGTTTGTATGTCATCTGGTGCCTAGAGGAAGGAAGGCCAACAAATTCAACTCTGATTATTTCAAGATTCTTAATGTAGTATCTTAAAATGTAATCTTCCCTTTTGTTTTCAGGCAGTGTCCAGTCTGATAGCAGTGGGTACATCTCATGGATTGGCTTTAATATTTGGTAAATTTTTTAAGTGCTTTCCTGCTTTTAAATATTGTCCTTTTGGGTTTTATAATGTCCTTTAATCACAGTTTATATAGTGTACTTGATCTTCTTGAACAAAACCAGAAAAACTTGAAAAGTAGCAGTCAGTATTTTTATAGCTAAAAATTATTTGACTCACAGCTTTGTTTTGCTGCTTATTGCAAGTTTGTTTTCTTCTTCATGAATTTATAAACTGTCATATCTATTGATCTCTCTGCAAACCTAGACACAAAGAATAAAGTTGAGGGGAACCTTGGGTTATCATCTTGTCTGCCTCCGGTTGTTGGTGGTGGGAATTTTTGATTCTGAATCACGTTCCCGTAATGGGTATTCTAAAAGATCTTCCGGAAAACAGGCTTTCTCAGTAATTTTCAGGAGCTCTCACTGACAATAAGCTTTTTAAAAAATTTCCAATGTAAATTGCTCTAAACCGAAATTTTTTTGGCCTGTAATCACATTGCTTTCTTGGTTGAAAGAGGACTAGTTTTATTTGTATAGTAGAAGATAGTTGTATTTTCTCATTTTTTTCTACCTGAGACTAAATGACTATAGTTTCATTAAACCTTCTTTGTTTTTGAATTCAATGTATGAATAGAATATTTTGTTCTTTTTAAATTAAAAAACTATTCGATTTTTGTGGCCGGGCACGGTGGCTCATGCCTGTAATTCTAGCACTTTGGGAGGCTGAGGCAGGTGGATCATCTGAGGTCAGGAGTTCGAGACCAGCCTGGCCAACATGGTGAAACCCTGTGTCTACTGAAAAAAATTAACTGGGTGTGGTGGCGGATGCCTGTAATCCCAGCTACTCGGGAGGCTGAGGCAGGAGAATCGCATGAACCCAGGAGGCTGAGGTTGCAGTGAGCCGAGATTGTGCCACTGTGCTCCAGCCTGGGCAACAGAGTGAGACTCCGTCTCAAAATAAATAAATAAATAAAAAATAAAAAACTGTTAGTTTTTTTGAGGGGTCATTTTTAGTGTTCTCTTCTGGATATTAAGTTGTTTCATCTCCCTTAAATGAAAGACTTGATGACACTGTATTTAGTAAGGAATCTACAGACTATTTTATATGGATTACCTGAGAATTCTTAATAGCAGAACCACAATTTGACTTCTGTGGGGCCTTGCATCCTTATTTACTGTATAAGTGGATAACTAGTTATTTTCTGTTGGTTTTGAATGATTTGACTTACTATTATGAATTTTGTATTATGACAAAAGCTTTTTAAAATGTAATTGTAAAACCTAGTCTTTTCAAAGGCAATTGAGTTAAATAATAGAGTTTTATTATTTGGGGACCAGAAGAGTAGAAACAAAATTATAATTCCCTTGAAGGAATTTAGAATTGGTTGAAAAAGACTTAAAACCTAGATAGTTGATATATATTCATAGTAGAAAATATAGAAAATATAGATGAGCAAAAAGTTGAAGATATACCAAATCCTGCCATCCAGGAATAATCCCTAACATTTTTTGTATGTAACCTTTTAGTCTTTTTCTTCTGTACTTGTATATATGTATCTATACATCCTCAAATGGGATCATGTTAATTTGTAAACTGCTTTTCATGATAATGAATATCTTTCCATGAAGTTATATATTTTGTCTGTAACATTTTTAATGGCTACATAGTATTCTATTAAATGGATTCTTCCTAATTTACTTAATCATTTCCTACTATAAGACATTTAAGTTGTTTGTAAACGTATAGTACTGTGATGAACATCTTTGTTACTACATTTCTGTGTCCATGATTACTTTTTTAGGACAGATATTCCTAAAAGTGGAATTGCTTGGATTAGGAGATGAACATTAAGAATTTTGATATGTATTATCTAATGGCCCTCTAGAAAAGTTCTATCAGCCTTCTCTCCTATCAGGTGTTCAGAATGGTGGTCTTCCTGTGGGGCATAATTAATGTTAGATAAATAGAATTTTGGGAAAGAATCTTAGTCATTTAGTTCAGTCCCCTTATTTTACTTCTGAGGCTGTTGAGGACCAGAGAGGTTAAGTGACATGCACAGAGCCAAGTTCAGCCAAGTTCATTGAGGAATGCTGAATCCTATATAAGTGTATTTCCACTATTCTAAGCAATTCTGCTATCCTGAGAGAAAAGGAGGCCAATTCTAAGATAAGAAGAAAAGAATAAAAGAACTAAGGTGAAGGAGAATAGATTATAATACATATATTTGTCAGCAAATTGCATGTTAATTTTTTGTTCCCACTTACCAGTACTCATTTCTCACCTCTATCTGCTTTAACATCCTTTTCTTGTCAATGTTATAAGAATATGTGACTGCTTATAATCAAACTCAAGTATAGCTTACTGCAAACAAATTAAAATGAATACTTTACAAACAAAAACTAACAGAGGAAAAGACAACATTGTCTTTTGATACTGTCTTTAATTTCCTTGGGCCTGGTTCCTGATTTTTTTTTTTTTTTTTTTTTTTAAAGACCCAGCAGCTTTCCTGTAGATATGAGAAAATAATAATCTTTCATTACAGTCTCATGGAAAAGAAAGTATGTCAAAGTGAACATTTTGAGAAAGAATCATAATATTCTGGTTGTGCTTTGGGTATTAATAGTGTGGCTAATAAATTTTACTCATTACTGTTTATAGGAATCAGATGTTTGGACAATGTGTTTTAACAAATAGATTAAAATATGCTTGAAAGCCTGGGAACAAATGGCAGAGTAATAATACTATAAAGTGTCTAGAGGCCTGGGTTAGATCTCATCTCTGTTAAACATCTGTGTTGATCATAGGAGAAAGTGTAACAGGAAGAGCTATACTTGTTTAAGTACTATATGTTTCTCTTTGAAACAGAGGCCCAGGTCATTAAGATTGAAACTATTATAAGTTTCTTGAAGACTAATGTTTATTGCCTCTTCTTAAGTAATTATAGGCATATAGCTTTTTAAAAAATATGTTGGTACTTACCTTATACAGAGTCTCAAAAGTTCAAATCTTAATAAAGATGTTTCCCCATCCCAGGGGGCCTTAGTTTTCCTCTTTTTTTTTTGGTTGTTAGTGTACTTTAGTAGATTATCTTTTTGAAATTGTTTTTGTATTTATCTCACTTAAACATGGATTTACTTACTTTGCTATAATGAGAGTATTATGGATTTTTTTTTCCCATAACCATAGCTGAGCATAATCATAAATGCTAGAGACATCACTTAATCACATTTAGTATCATTCCCACAGATAACTAAAGCTTGTCACGTATATTCTTGAAATTTTTTACCTGCCTTTTCTTTGAACTTTTGAACTGATTTCTTGCTTTTCTTTCTCTCTCTTGATCTTTTCTTCATGGATTCAAAAGGAAAAGGTATAGTAAGTAATTTTAGTTTGCATGAATGATTTCTTTTCTTTTGGCTTTTTTAATGTTAGAAGAATGCTACCAATTATAGTCAGTGTCCTCTTGTGAAATGCTTATTGGAAAAAAACCAGCTAATTGAAAAATTAGTTAAGCAGGAAATTGTGAAAAACTATAAGTATATATATACCTTCAGTGTTTTAACTGAAAATACATAAATTTTCATTTATCCTTGATCTTTTGTTGTAGTCCCAAACTTTTTCTTTGAGTTTGTATTTGCCACTTGGAGTCCTGAAGTATCTTTTTTGGCATAAACTTTATCATTAATGGGTCATGCAAAATTTGCCATTTTAAGTTTTAAAATTGAGGTAAAAGCTTAAGCACCTGTGAATCAATCATTGCATGCAAAATCCTGTTATATTATGAACACCTTATTTTGTGACAGTTTTGTAAAGAAACTCATCTTTACCAAGTTTTTCTAAACCATCCATTTAATGTTCATGGAAACAACAGCTCTTTCTTTTTCACTCTGTTTCATTAGTTTATTTACTGTTTAAGTTTTAAAGTACAGTAACATTACAGTGGCATGAACAGGCTTGGGAATGAACACAGCTGACTCATAGTAAGCATCAGCATTCTGGAAGATATCCAACTAGCCATGGGGATTCAGTATGCCCTGGCTTCAGTCAGTAAGCCTTACAGAGGGAAGGAGAACTTGAATTCTGTGAGTTGGTTTGATGGAGGTCAGGTAAAAGTGCTTCTGTTGTTTTATGATCATTGATGAAAAATGTTTCCTGATTAGATCTTTTCTCCCTTGATCCTAGAGAATATTTTAGTGTGAATAAAGGATAAGAAAAGGCCAGATGTGGTGGCTCACGCTTGTAATCCCAGCACTTTGGGAGGCCAAGGTGGGCGGATCATTTGAAGTCAGGAGTTCAAGACCAGCCTGGCCAACATAGTGAAACCCGTCTCTACTAAAAATACAAAAATAACCAAGCAATAGTGACATACGCCTGTAATCCCAGCTACTTGGGAGACTGAGGCAAGAGAATTGCTTGAACACAGGAGGCGGAGGCTGCAGTGAACTGAGATGGTGCCAGCCTGGGTGACGGAGTGAGACTGTCAAAAAAAAAAAAGGATAAGAAAAGAGTAGCATTAAAGAATAGTGAATATTGGCCAATAAAGGTAGAGTTCCACACACACAATTAAATTGGATTCCTGCTAGGATGTAGGTATTTCCTTCTTCGATAGTCTTTAGAACTAATTAAAACTAATTGAGGGTAAAGAAATAGAAGATTGGGCTAATTTTGGTATATGGAAAGAGTTAACAGAAATTCTTGAAGTATGTTCAAATTTAGATTTTAGGGCTATTACAGACTTTGTACATTATTTGAGACTTTTCTTTGCTATTCAGCATGTTATTCTTAAGTCCAGAATATGCTGAGGAGATCTACTCTAAGCAAAGTGTACTTTGAAAGACATACTAATAAAAGATACAGATATAATTCAGGGCAATGCTAAATAGATGTGCTGTTTGTGATATTTGGCCTTCAAGTTATCTAAATTAATTGGTAAGCTATATTACTGTCATAAACAATAATTCCTTGCATTTGTGCCATTTGATGATTTTCTAATTTTTCATAGGCAAAACTCTTTGTCGACTCAGTGAAGTTTGTAAGAAAGGTGATAGTCTCATTTCATATTTCTTGCCAGGGTAACCATTATTAAGACCCACTGCAATTTTTTTAAAACACAAATTTGACAGTACTAATCAAAGATACCTTTATATGACTTTGAAATGAAATTAGATATACTGTTAATTTAATAACTTTTTCCAACTGTAAACAAAGGAGACTTCAGAGAGGAGGAGGAGAATAGAATTTTTCCTTCTAAATTCATGAAATCAAGAGTAATCTGGAGTGGCTCTCATTTTCACCTTCTGTCCAGGTCATTTTGTTCTTTACATGTATCCATGGAATTTAAGTGTTTTGAAGAGGTTTTATGTTTATTTTGCTCAAATACCATTTCCCAGAATTGTCCAGAATTTTCTGGACTGCAGAATGTTTAGTTACTCTAGCAGGAGAAACCTCTTCAATAAGACTGCTTTCTTCTTTCCACAGAAAGTCTACCTTTTCTGAATTTAGTCTAGATTATATAACAGCAAGTTTGTTAAAATGGTACTATAAGGATAGAATGTATGAAGAGGAGTGGCCGGCCACAGTGGCTCAGCCTGTAATCCCAGCACTTTGGGAGGCTGAGGTGGGCGGATCACGTAAGATCGGGGGAGTTCGAGACCAACCTGACTAACATGGAGAAACCCCGTCTCTACTAAAAGTACAAAATTAGCCGGGTGTGTTGACGCATGCCTGTAATCCCAGCTACTTGGAGGCTGAGGCAGGAGAATAGCTTGAACCCGGGAGGTGGAGGTGCTATGAGCTGAGATCATGCCATTGCACTCCAGCCTGGGCAACAAGAGTGAAACTCCATCTCAAAAAAAAAAACAAAACAAAAACGAATGTATGAAGATGGTAACAAGAGTTTGATAAATATCTTTATGGAGTCAAAGTAGATTACATTTGTTACAGTGTCCATCATGTCTCTCACCATCCCTGCTGTTTTTTTTAAATGTATATATGAATGTAATCTATAGATTAGTTTGTGATGAGCACTTAATACTATTCAAGGGACACTGAATTGGTTCCTTGGTGCATTATCTTACTTTACTCATTTATTCCTCTTAGCAACACAGTGAGATAATGGGCATTTTCTACATTTTACAGATGAAGATAGGGAGGCTAAGTGAATTTAAGTAACGTTCCTAAAATTACCAAGACATGCTGTAGTTGTAAGGCTCGTAACTATCTGTGGGGTAGGGGTGGAATTAAAATCCAGGTATCTGGTTTCATAGTCACGATACCTTCTAAAGGGACATTGTAAAAACAACAAATACATTGTAAAAAATCAAGAAAAAAGTTGAGAATGTTTCCATTAACAGATTTGTGGGCTGTGAATTTAATCCATATTTCAGGAATGGCTAAGATTGATAATTTACTTCCCTGTCTTAGCTAGTTGATGGTATGTGGGAACAGCAGTCAGGAAGGCATGGTCATGTTTGGTTTTTAATCTAGAAGTTATGTCCTTTTCCTTCCCTCATTTCGTCCATTGCCACTCTTTTCTATTTCCTCTTCATGGTACCCTTACTCTCTTTGTTATCATATCCTCAGTTCTCCTATTCATACTTCCTGTGCCTGAAATAGTCTGATATAAAGTTTAACATTTAACATTGTTAAATTAGAAAGTAGTAGTGAGCCGGGCGCGGTGGCTCAAGCCTGTAATCCCAGCACTTTGGGAGGCCAAGGCGGGTGGATCACGAGGTCAGGAGATCGAGACTATCCTGGCTAACATGGTGAAACCCCGTCTCTACTAAAAATACAAAAAACTAGCTGGGCGTGGTGGCGGGCGCCTGTAGTCCCAGCTACTTGGGAGGCTGAGGCGGGAGAGTGGCGTGAACCCGGGAGGCGGAGCTTGCAGTGAGCCCAGATCACGCCACTGCACTCCAACCTGAGAGACACAGCGAGACTCCATAAAAAAAAAAAAAAAAAAAAAAAAAGAAAGTAGTAGTGAGAGTCTTTACGTATTGGTGAATCAGAACTCTGTGAAGTTTGGATCTCAAAGCAGGGACTACAGAGGATCTTGGTAGTATGCTGCTTAGACATCGCTCTGTGCCTGGAAGGCAAGCGGCCCAAACTCCAGGGTATGAAATTTCATACCAACTCTTTCCTTGTCCTCTTACTTTCAGTCCATCTGTTAGCTATACATGTGACCCAGAGTAGAGGTATATATGGGATACTATTGCCCAACCATCATATCATGACAGTTTGCAAATTAAGATATGTGGAAAATCCACTAACTATACAGGGTGGCTCTGATGAAATAAGGATCATGCAAAACATTACTTTAAGTAGGTAGTTTTGGAAGAGCAAAATAAAATGTGATGTTATATTTAGAGTCAGGAAAATTATAGAATAAAGGGAAGTTTTATAATTTGGATTAAATCAAGGAAGGGTGAAAAAATTGTAAGGGGGAGAACAGTCAGGATGTATTGAAAAGTATCTGTAGTTGTAAAACTCTAGATGTGAATAAAGACAGTAACTTTTAAAATACATCAGACCTTGTATATTTATGAGTTTTATTCCTTTTCAATGTTCACCTTGGAAAGCTAAAATCCAAAATGAGTGAAAAAAATCAAGTATGTTCTGTGTGCTATGTAGTTACACTCATTGTTTCAGAACTCCTTTTTGGGAAGGGGGGATTTCTATTTAAGTCTGTTTGTGAGCACAGAAAAATACTCTTACAGTATTCACTTTGAATGGACAAAAGGACTGACCTCATATTATTCTTCAGACCTGAGAATGAATGACTGTGTCTGATAACTAGATTTACTCTTATAGAAGGAGAATTGGCAAATGTGAAAGCTTTTCAGATGATTGTCAGATGCCTTCTAAGCACAAGGCATTAAGCAAGGTACTTTGGGAGTGTTAATTCAGCCATGATCTTAGCCCTCAGAGAGGTCATAGTGTAATAGGGAAAGTAAGACATACCCCCAAATTTGCATGTAGATAATTAAGGGAGGCACAAACAGTGCTGGGGAAGTTGAGAAAACTCCAGGTTGTGGAAATATGGTGTTTTTTGCTTTTTTCTAAATAGTTATATTTTGTAGGCATGCCTTCTGACATTTAAATTTTTAAATTCATTGTTTTCAAGTGTGTATAATAATGAACTCTAGACAAAATAAACATTGCCTAGGGGAAACCCTAGAGAAATTTCGATTAATTATTAGATAGCAGAATTTAGTAAATATTTGAGTGCCTCCTGGAGAAATCAGAGGTGATTAAGGCAAGATCCTCGCCCTTATCAAACTTAATCTAATAGATATTTGAATTACTTGCTTTAGCTTTTTGTTGTTGTTTTTTGAGACAGAGTCTTGCTCTGTCGCCCAGGCTGGAATGCAGTGGCATGATCTCGGTTCACTGCAACCTTTGCCTCCTGGGTTCAAGTGATTCTCCTGCCTCAGCCTCCCGAGTAGCTGGAATTACAGGCGCCTACCACCACACCCAGCTATATTTTTTATATTAGTGGAGATGGGGTTTCACTGTGTTGGCCAGGCTGGTCTCGAACTCCTGACCTCAAGTGACCCTTCCTTCCTCAGCCTCCCAAAGTGCTGGGATTACAGGTGTGAGCTACCATGCCCAGCCACTTTTAGCATATCAAATTTTGATGTTTGAAATAATTTTCTGAAGTCGTTTAAATGTTTACTCTGTAATTTGCACTGTTAATTTGCTTAGTAAATTTTCTTTATGGATAATATAAATGTAAATTTCAGCCAAATTCTAAATTAAATTTCTTGAGTTTTGAAGTTTTGTAGTTATTTTAAAAGACGATGGTATTCCCCATAACTTTGCATCTTAAAAATAGCAAGAAATACAATTCTAGGATGAGACAGATGACGGTTTGTTTAAGGAGATACAGATTTCATATGGATTTTTTGGCTTATCGTTAGCATTTTATATTATGCTTTCTTGTAGATCTTTTTTTTTTTCTGTATTCTTTTTTTTTTTTTTTTTTTGAGACCGAGTCTCACTCTGTTGTGCAGGCTAGAGTGCAGTGGTGTGATCTCAGCTGACTGCGACCTCTGCCTCCCGAGTGTAAGTGATTCTTGTGCCTCAGCCTCTCGAGTAGCTGGGCAGCCTCTTGAGTAGCTGGGACTACAGGCGTGAGCCACCATGCCCAGCTAATTTTTGTATTTTTAGTAGAGATGGGGTTTCACCATGTTGGCCAGGCTGGTCTCGAACTCCTGACCTCAGGTGATCCACTCACCTCGGCCTTCCAAAGTGCTGGGATTACAGGCATGAGCCACCACGCCGGCCTTTTTTTTTCTGTATAATTCAATGCCCAGCATCTGCTAGTTGCCCAGTAAATAGATTTAAAAATGAATGTGACTTCATTGTCTGCTGCTTTTGATTCTTGTCACTTCCCAAGTCTTTGAAAGCATGCCTGTGCTAGATGTATTCACACTCTTGCATTTCTTTCACTTGACTTTAAAAACTGCTTTCTTTAGATCAGAATCAAGCTTTGCGACTCTGTCTGGGTAGCACTAGTGTTGGAGGTCAGTATGGCGCTATCTCTGCCCTCAGTATCAACAATGATTGCTCAAGACTTCTTTGTGGCTTTGCTAAAGGACAGGTAAGATACGAACTTCCTTTAATTCATAAGACAATGTTAAAATAAGATCAATTAAAAAAAACTAATATCTTAGATCAAAGACCACAAAATATGTGTTATGAAGTAATATGTTTGTAGAGCTAACCAGAGATTGCTGAATCTGATTTTTGTCTTGGTCAAAATTTTACTGAATTGTTATCAACTGACCCAGAGTCTGTAATTATTTTATATCCTAGTTCATGTGTCTATTTGGGTAAATAATTTTTGTAAACCAACCAGGGGTGTTATATAAAATGTACTTCCTTACAGTCATGTAAATAATGGAGGCTGCTTTTTAGAAAGATTCTGCATTCCTGGATGATGATTTTTGCATTTTTTTCTACTTCTGAAACTGGCAGTAGGTTATGGTTTTTTTCATCTTCCGATTTATACATCCCTAGCTAGTTTGGCAGTAAGGCCTTCCTATACTTTTTACCAGTGCTAAACAGATTGACTTATTAGAGAAATATCTTTTGTCTCTCAGTATGAGAACATTTAAAATCTAAAGGGAAAAGTAGGATGGACAGGATGGGGGTAAATGAAGATCGAATAAAGGCTCAGTGCTTTAATGGATCTGCAACCTTTAGGTATGTTTTAACTTTATAGTTCTTTGCCTGCAATGTTTATAGTCAAGGAATAGATTATCCCAACCAGAAGACAGGATACTTAAGTCCAAAAAAGAGTAATAAATTTGTTTTTAAAGCACTTAGTTGTCTTATAGATCACCATGTGGGATTTGGCCAGTGGAAAACTTCTAAGATCAATAACAGATGCTCATCCTCCAGGAACAGCAATATTGCATATCAAGGTAATAGCTTTATTTTCTTTTTCTAATAATTTTTTTATTATGCCTTTGTATTTATTTTAAAGTAAATTTCTCTATATTGATAATCAGAGTCCAAAAAATGTATTTAACATGAAGCTGAACATTACCTCATAAATAGAATCCATAACATTGAGCTGTCTTTTATTTGACTAGCCCAACATGATGTTTTTCCAGGTTAAAACTGGAGATGGGCTAGTATGGAAATATTCAGCTTCAAGTTGCACTGAAGTCTAATAGATATAGCGGCAAAAAGGGCAAATTGGTGTGTTGCTAGACTAGAGTTTGGCAGTAAAGACGGGCAGCTCCCTGCTAAAATTCATATGGAACTCTTAAAAAGTCTTTTTACCTTTGTTTAGTTCATCCAAATTTTATTGCTGAGGTGGTGTGCTCTGTCACCCTTTTTTGGGAGTTGCCTGAGGTTTAAGGCACAGATTGTGAAAGAACCAAGGTTTGGATTATGTTTAGAAATGAATCTGTTGGTTTATTTTCTTTCAGGCCTCTAAAGGGAAAGCATTAAGATCCTAGTCTTGGCTTTCTCCTTACAGGCCTGAAAAAATAAACTGACTTAGGTAACAGATTTCATTTATAAATACAATGTGAGTGTTGATTCTTCCATGCTGTCAAGCTCATGTTCAGAAGCATAAAAGGTAAAGGATTATAACTAGAAAAGTCTAAAATCAGATCTTCTAGATTTTAATCATGTACACATTTTGTTGCTTAGCTCTGCAGAGCTCTGTCATCCGTAAGTATCCTTTTTAAAGTCTGGAAGCATCTGGAGTTTGTATGTCTGTATCTAGGTTAGTTACAAAAAGTCTTCTGTGACAGAGCAGCGTTGAAGCATTTAGTAACAATGAAAACAACCAAGACAAGTAAAAAAGTAAAAGTGGAGAGAATTTCCAGAGCATTATGGCAATATATCTTGACCTCTTTTCATATGGTTTGTGCCGACTTTTAATATGTTATAGTTGTTTGTATATAGGTCTTCTCTCTCTTAGTAGATGAGCATCTTTGAAATCACAATCTGTTTGTCATTTATTTTTGTGTTTTACCCATAGAAGCTCTCAATAAGTACTTGATTGAAGGAAAAACTAGATGGTGGTGTTTATACAAGAGCAATCCTTTTGCAGAGAAAAATATTGGGAGAAAGAATAAGAAACAGAAGAGATAAAGGCAGAGAGAAAAGAGAAGAATGCAGTTGAGATAAATAATATGTAGTGGGAACCATCGTGTTGCCTGACAATGGTGATGAAGGTGGTACATGTAGTAATAACACTGGAGTAAGATACATAGGGTTGAATATTTCTGAAGTCTTCTATTGACATCAGCCACTTGCATTTTAATACTCTTACACGTTGTTCTTCAAATTTAAGCCTGTATCTCATCAATAACAATTTGAAATTTCATTCTTTATGGGTATTTATGTGTATGTGTGTATTTATATGAATGCACTACTGTACTAATTTTTATGTACATTATAAAGCACATACACAAGAAATAGAAGATTAAACAAATACAGATTCTGTTATTTTTCCTGCACTCCGGTGGACCATTTCATGCACATACTTAGGGTATATGCTTCTCACTCTGGCAACTGCTCATCTAGGCCGTAAGAGCAAAGTTGTGGGGCTTTTTAACTATGCGTGTGTTTGGGTAAAGGAAGAAGAATTTTACTGTGACCTCTAGTACCTCAGCCATCCCTGACTGAGAGCCTGAGGCATGCCATTTAGGATGGTTCACCAACCTTTGAGTTTAGGGAGGATAGTCACTGTAAATGGACAAGTTCACTTTATTCCATTTTGTGTCCTGCAACATTGACCATACTTCAGGTCACCTTAGGACTGTCTGTCATTGTGAACATTATTTATTATTCTGAGTTTTCTAAGTTAGGTAGTGATAACTGATGTATTTGCTGTGGAAGAAGATCAAGGAGGTAGCACATTTTGGGAAGAGTTGTATATGAAAAGTTAAAATGTTTTAGATACAGTGGACTTACTTTTCAGTTATTCAGAAGACATCTTCAGATAAGTTTATTTCTCAGAGATACCAAGTATTTTTTAGAGTCGCTATTCTTGAAAACTGGGCAGGTGCAAATGTAACCAGAGGATTTCATTTATTTAATAATAGCAAGTTACAAAAAGTTATTGTAAGAACCCAAGTACAGAACTTTAGAATTTTTATCAATCATAGTTTGTATTTTTCTTTTATCCTGATGAAAGGTGGTTTTGCTTTTTGAAAGCCTCTGTTTTTTTTAAAGATTTTGGACCATTATTACTCTAAATAAAGGTAAGTTTGTATGTTTAGCGTAATGAGCACTAAATCTAGTTTAGGTTATTTCAAAAGCTATTAAATGTGTATATTGTAGTTTTTCAAAATTGTATAATTTTTTCCTTCTTAATACTTGACTGTTTAAAAATCTACAAGAAAATAAATTCCTTCTCTGTTTAGTTTACAGATGACCCAACTCTTGCAATTTGCAATGACAGCGGAGGCTCTGTTTTTGAATTGACATTTAAGTAAGAGACTGGTGGACATCTGTTGACAAATGAAAAGACTAGCTCTGTTTAAATGATTTGAAATTGAACATGAAGAGGTCTAGAAAGCCCCTGTAATTGAGAGTAGACTATGATTGTGTATTACAATTAGCTGGGAAGGCTTATATTAATAGAACAAACAGAGTTCTGGGCCTGGTCCTCCCGAGTTTTATCTCAGTAGGTCTGAGTTGGGATTCTAGACTCCTATTCCCCGGGAGATTCTTATGTGCTGTCAAGCTTGGGACCACTCTTCTGGAGTAGCTCACTAATTTTGGTTTAGGCTCAAGGCCCAGTTGATTATAATCAAAATGGGCAGGTGTAAACAGGTTTTTAATTATCTTAGAATTGCCATGTTTGCTCTTTAAGAGCAAAGACTGTATAGACATATCAAAGAGCGTTTAGGAAGCAGAGTTTTTTGAAAAGTAGAACATAATATTCATTGTGTATTATGTTTTCATAAGTTCTCCAAGGTTGACAACTATCTTTGTTTCTTGTGTTTCTCATAGCTTCTAACAATGCTAAGCACAAAGTAATTTCTGAAAAAAACATACTTCTTATTCAGTTAATGTTTATTGAGCATCTCCTATGTGTAGGTATTTATCTAGACCCCAGAGTTTTAACTGTGAACCAAGCAAAGTTTCTGCTCTAAGAGAACTTAGATTCTAGCTGCAGTAAGGGTAAGGAAACAGCAAACCAGCACATAAATGAAATCACTTCAGATGGGTCTAGGTACTGCGAAGAAAACAAGACAGGGGATAACTCTAGATTGCACTTAAGGATGATTCTGGAATGCCTTTCTCAGAAGGAGCAACATCTGGAAAAATACCTGAATGGTGAGCCAGTCAACATATGCACAGATCTGAGGGAAATATTCCAGGCAGAGAACATTCAGACACAAAGGCTTTGAGGTGGCCACAAACTTGGCCTGCTAGAGCGATTGAAGAAAGCAGGCATGGGTTGAGTGTGACTTTGTCAGGAACACAATAGTGGGAGAGGAGTGAAGGGAGGAGCCAGATCATATCCTTTTAAGACATGGGAAAGAGTTTGGATTTTATTTTTTATGTACAGTAGCAAGCCAGTAGACTGTTTTTGGCAGAAAAATAAACAAATCTGACTTGTATAATAAAAAGATCATGCTGCAGTCCTGTGGAGCTTGGATTGTTGGGGGTTAAGAATAGGAGGTAGGAGGCTATTAAAGTAGGCCAAGCAAGAGGTAGTAGTGGCTTGAATCATTGCTAAATTGATTCTGAATTTTCTTAATTACATTTTCAGGAGAGTGATGGGAGTGAGAACCTGTGAATCTAGATGTCTGTTCAGTGGTTCCAAGGGTGAAGTCTGCTGTATTGAGCCTCTGCATTCTAAGCCTGAGTTGAAAGATCATCCCATCACACAGTTTTCATTATTGGCCATGGCATCCTTAACAAAAGTAAGTGCATTTAGAAGTTAAAACTCAGAACTTTTAGAAACTTTGAATACCAAATATTTGAAAATTACAAGGTCAATATTGAAAACATATTTTTCTCTTAAAGATACTGGTCATTGGATTGAAACCATCCTTGAAAGTGTGGATGACTTTTCCCTATGGCCGGGTGAGTAAGTCCCTCCATCTTATTGGCCAAAGGAAGGACCATGTCAGGAGGTTGAGAGAGATGACTTGCAAGGGGTGAATTCTGTGAGATTGTCAGAAAACTAGACAGGGTGAAAGTCAGTACTCCAGAGATCGTTGGCTGGACTTGCCTTAAGGTGATCAAAGCATTATAAGCTGATGACCAGCACAGTGTCCTAGGGATCATGAGATCTTGTACTTTTCTACATTTATCGCTTTAAGCTTTTCTCTCATAGACAGCATACAGTTGGCTTTTGTTCTTAACCTCAACTTGACAGTCTCTGTATATTGCTGTCCTGGCACTCTGTGGTCACACCTAACTTCATGCATTGGAATTTCCTACTTCATTCAGTGTCCTTCTGAGGGCAATAAAATTCCCTTACCAGATTTAAAGTTGAAGGATAAGTTGATTTATTGATAGAACAAACTTGATTTTCAGTGTTTAAAAGATACTTATTTTTACATGGCTGCTGTGCTGAGACAGGCTTATACTCACTGTCTGCAGCTTTGGCACTGAACTGTGGATAGAGTAGACCCCACTGTCATATGTGCTGTAGATTGCTACTACATGTGCTGTCCCTGGCTTCTGCCTCTGGTATTTTACTTTGGAGGATGATACTTCCTGGCGTGTGTTATTTATATACCAGTTTTCCCTTTCTTTTCTTCTTGGTTATTTTCAGAGTTGTGATCTTCCAATGTATATATGAGGAGAGGTATTGATAGGGTGGGATGGAGATTGGTGGTACAGAACTCTGGCTGGTGCAGAAAGCATCCCCTATGGTGAAGGAACTCACTTTTGTTTTCCTGTTGGTACCCTGTGTGTCTCTGGGCCTAGGGGAAGCAGGTCTATCCTTTCAGATGGCAAAACTGGCTTAGATGGCCATTAACATTTGTTAGATTAGCTTCATTGGCAAATTCAGATTTTTTTTCATGGTAGTATGTGTTTGCTTTTTTAAAATGTTTTTATTGGTTTTTTTTTCAACATTTTATTATAAACATTTTCAAACAAAATTGAAAGAATTTTACGTTGAATACTTGTATAGCTACCATCTAAATTCTATATATAACATTTACTGCCCTTTATTACATATCTGTCCATATACCCATCCCTCTGTCCACTTATCAAATTATATTTTTTATATATTTCAAAGGAAATTTCAGAAACCAGTATTCTTTCCCCTAAATATTTAGCATACATATTATTAGCTAGAGTTTAATACTTCTTTAGGTTTTTCCTTAGGTGTAGAATCTACATACAAAGAAGTGCACAGATCTTGAGTGTACATTTGCTGAACTTTGACAAATGCTTAACACTTTTGTAACTCAAATTCCTATCAAGGTGTAGAACATTACCATCAACCCAGAAAGTTCCCTCGTGACACTTCCCAGTTAGTTCTTGCTTTACTGAGAAATTGGAGAAAGTTTTTATCAAGGAACACTAGTCAGATACTGTTTTTAACCACAGTTTTCTCTTTGTCCCCTTGTTTATCAACTGTGATGATGTTTTTTTTCCATCTCCCTACTTAGATGGATCCTTCCAGTGTGCCACTGCTGGCCTGGCACTTTGTAGCAGTGCAAAATTATGTGAATCCCATGCTTGCCTTCTGCAGAGGAGATGTCGTTCATTTTCTATTGGTAAGTCCTAATATGATGCTACATCCATTAGAAAGCGTCTTGTAGTTTTTTTTATTCATCAGTAATTTAATAATGTGTCAAAGAAATTTGTGTTACTATCATAAGTCTTTGGTGAGAGTGCAACCTATTTTATTTTTATCTGAGGCTTTAATGATTAGCATGGGAAAAAGGTGATCACTCTCAGTTCCATAACCTTTCATGGTTTATTTCTCAGCTCCATTTCTTTGACAAATAATTAATGGTGTATGTAAATGTATCAAGGTATGAATGTGAATATGTGTTAATGTATGTGTAACTACATATGTGTGTATTAGAGAGCAAGTATCATTGAGCACCTGTTGTGTCCTCTACACTGTGATGGGCACAAGTAGCAATGGAAGGAAGGAAGTATACAACGTAATTTCATCTTTCACTCAGCTTATAATCTTGTTTGAAAAGCAAAATCAGTCTGTTCATTATTACTACAGAAAATGGTTTAAGGATTGAACTATGTGATGAAAATCAAGCTGATACAAATTCAGAGTACAAAGTGATTAGTATGGACTAGAGAGGGTATTAATGGCTTTATGAAGGATATACTGCAACTACTGCAGGAAGGCTGGGTATGCATATTGTTGGAAATGAGATGAACTGAAGTCACAGAGGCAAGAATGTGCCTTTGTATTAATAATCTCTTGGGTTTCCTAGCTCAGTGAAGCAAGTTCACTACTGTCTACCTACTTCCTCCAGCCAGAAACTTAGGAGTTACTTTTCAGTTACCTTTCTTTCTTCATATGTGCCCTATCATCAAGCCCTATTGACTCTACCTCCAAAAATCTCTTGAATTTCTCCTTTTTTGTCTCCCCCATTGCTCTTTCCTTAGTCTAAATCATGTACATGTCTAGCCTGGATTCTGCCATAGCTTCCTAACTAGTCTCTGGCCTCAGTGCCTTTTACATATACTGTTGCCTCTGCCAGAAAAGTTTTGTGCTATCTTCCATTGTCTCCCAGCTCATGATTAACATGGCCTTCCCTGACCTCTGAACTAAGTTAGTTATATACATCTTTTGATAATATTCAGCACTTAAAAGAAAAACAAAAACAAAAGAGGGGCGAGGTATTGTGGGTCTCCAACTGAGGCCCAGGCTGACTCTCTAACTCCTGGCCTCAAGTGATCCTCCCGCCTCAGCCTCCCAAATATTGGGATTACAAGTGTGAGCCACTGTGCTTGGCCACATTCAGCACTTTTTAAATTATTTGTCTAATGTTTTTCTTCGCCACTAGACAGAAAGCTCCATAAATCTAGAGACCATCTTTACTGTTATATTTCCAGCCACTAGGACAGTGCTTTATATTGTAAATAGTCAATAAATGTTTATAGAATTAATGACAAAGAGAAGGTTGTAGTGGAAAATATAATTGAATATATGGGGTGGATTGAGAGTAGGGGTTGGCAAACTGTGGCCTGTGGGCCAAATCTGGCCAGCCATCTGTTTTTATAAATAAAGTTTTGTTAGAACATCCCCAATACAACATTTGAGAGTCCCGCCTTCAGTTTCAGCTCAAAACATTGAAATATTCCTTCATCATTTTCTCCCCAATCAGTCTCTTTTCAAATGTTTCTTGATTCTAAAATGCAAAGTCAGAAGTGGGATGTTTCATTCATGTCCTTCAGTCTCTAGATCCAATATGATGAGAAGACTTATTTTTCCTTGAAAGTTGTCATCCCTTAACTCTCACTGCAACTAACCATCTTTGTCTAACCACCTTACACCTGCCTTATTGAGAAAAACCTTTAATTTTTCTCCTGCCTTCTGTATGTATGCTTTTTGCTACTTCTAGACTGATCTTCCTAAAATGTCACTTTAATCATATCTTTATGACTTTAATTACTTAGGAACCTGTGATGATGACTCCGTTACCAGTCTAGGCCAATCATTATTAATCTAAATGAGGGGTTAGCAAGCTTTTTGTGTAAAGGGCCACACAGTAAACATTTTAGCGTCTGTGGACCATATATTCTCAGGAAACTGAGAAAGAGTAGGTGACTGCCTTTGGTCACACGGGTATAATAGTGGAACTTAGACATATGGCTCTAGATCCCATGTTCATTTTACCACAGGATCGTTTCTTAAGGGAGAAGTGATTTAGTGAAATGAAGGTGGGTGCACATGAAGGGCCCATGTTAAGTGGTCTCAGATTTCTGTTAAAACATCAGGCGAGGTCACCACTGTAAGTGATGGGGCCAGAAGGCAAAGAGAATTGTGACTTAAAGGGAAAGACATCTATTATACTACTATGGAGACTGTACAAGAAAGCCCAGGTTGAATTGAATGCCATGAATTTCAGGTGGTCAGGCGCATCTTGTGCTTTATGTTTCTTCAGTGTTCTGTTACCTTGGAGCAGAAGGGGAGAAGGATGACTGAGGATATAGAGTGTATTTATAGATACGAATAAATAAAAGATTGACACTCAAGGTCCTTTTGGGAAATTTTGGGATGTTAGAATTACACAACGGAACTTCAAAAAGTTTGTGGAAAAATGGAGTTAAAAAATAAAAATAAATTTTATTTCTCAACATAAGCTTCATCTTGTTCAAGATACTTTTTAAAGTGCTGATACCAGCCATATAGTCCATCCCTAAAGAACTGAAGGTCTTGGGAATTTAATCATGTCAATGCAGTCTTTTTCACATTATTAACTAAAGAAAAATGGGTGCCCTTTATAGACTTTTTCTAGATTAGGAGACAGAAGTCAAAGGAGCCAAATCAGTACTGTATGGTGGATCGAAATGCTCTCAGAATTGGCCTTGTTTGATGAGAGCAGTGAGCAGGAACATGGTTGTGGTGGAGGACAGTCTGGTGAAGCTTTCCTGGGCATTTGTCTGCCAGAGCTTTGGCTAACTTTCTCAAAACACACTCTTAATAAGCAGATGTTACTGTTCTTTGGCCCTCCAGAAAATCAACAAGCAAAATGCCTTGAGGATCCCAAAAAATTGTTGCCATGACCTTTGCTCTTGCCTGGTCTGCTTTTGCTTTGGCTAGACCACTTCTGCCTCTTCATAGCCTTTGTTTTGCTTGTGCTCTTTCTTCAGGACCACACTGGTAAAACCATGTTTTATCTCCTGTTACAGTTTTTCAGAGAAATGCTTCAGGATCTTGATTCCACATGTTTAAAATTCCCGTTAAAAGCTTTGCTCTTGTCTGCAGCTGACCTGGGCACAACTGTTTTGGCACCCGTCAAGTAGAAACTTTGCTCAGCTTTAATTTTTCAGTCAGAATAGTGCAAGCTAAACCAGTTGAAATGTCTATGGTTTTGGCTGTTGTTTCTGCTGTTAATCATTGATCTCTTTCAATTAGGGCATGAACAAGATGAATATTTTTCCTCGCTAATTGATGGGTATGGTCTGCAATTGCAGGCTTCACCTTCAGCATCATCTTGTTCCTTCTTAAAACGAGTTACCCATTTGTAAACTGCTGCTTTCTCTGGGGGCATTGTTCCCATAAACTTTCATTAAGCATCAGTGATTTTACCATTCTTCCACTGAAGCTTCACCATAAATTTGATATTTGTTCTTGCTTCAATTTTAGCAGAATTTATGTTGCTCTTTGGGGCTCTTTTCAAACTGGTGTCTTTCCTTCTTAATGCCTCAAACTAGATCCTTTTCAGACATGTTATAGTAAGTTAGTACGAGTTTATTTTGGTGCAAACAATTTTTGAGATCCATGCATAGTTTTTTCATTGTATGCATTTTCCATGAACTTTTTGAGGTCCTCTCATAATAGTATCATAGTTCAGAGAAGTCTGGCTCACATCACTGCAGCTTCTTTTTTTCTTGAATGGACTTTTGACTTCCTCACACTGTGTCACCATTCCTTTTTGTATTTTTTTTTTTTTTTTTGAGACAGAGTCTTGCTCTGTTGCCCAGGCTGGAGTGCAGTGGCGCTATCTCAGCTCACTGCAAGCTCCGCCTCCTGGGTTCACGCCATTCTCCTACCTCAGCCTCCCGAGCAGCTGGGATTACAGGTGCCCACCACACGCCTGGCTAGTTTTTTGTATTTTCAGTAGAGACGGGGTTTCACTGTGTTAGCCAGGATGGTCTCGATCTCCTGACCTCATGATCTGCCCACCTCGGCCTCCCAAAGTGCTGGGATTACAGGTGTGAGCCACCTCGCCCGGCCCTTTTTGTATTTTAATTATAGTCATTGATGTGATAAAGTTAGGTTGTTCTGAATTATAACAGAGTGAAAACTATGTCACAGCATTTGTCAATACTGACAACTAGACCACTTCCAGATATGCCCTGCATTTTGGTGTAAATAATGGAACAAATAATTTTTTTTCTACTTTCATAGTCATTTATTTAATTATCAGCACTTTTGGCTTATCTACAGTGAAAGGGATAACGGGTAAATGTGATATTCTAGGTGGAGTATAATTAAATATCTAAAAAAGTCCCTCAAACAGTAGTTGGTTTTTAGGTTGTTTTTATTTCATCATCAGGTAAAGAGAGACGAATCTGGAGCAATACATGTTACTAAGCAAAAGCATCTTCACCTATACTATGACCTCATCAACTTTACTGTGAGTATTATTCAAATTAAATATCCCCATTTAGTTCATGTAATTGTTCTGAACCTATGATATATTAAAGCTACCAGGATTTCTGCCAAGAATTATTACCTTTAAGATCATATAAAATATGGACAGTCAGGCACCCAGGCTCATGCCTGTAGTCCCAGCTACTTGGGAGGCTGAGGTGTGGGATAGCTTAAGCCCAGGAGTTCAAGGCTGTAGTGCTCAGTGATCGCTCCTGTGACTAGTCACTGCACTCTAGCCTGGGCAATATAGTGAGACTCTGTCTCTTAAAAAAAAAAAGTGTATATATATATATATACATACATACATATACACACACACACAGAAAGGAAGTCCTGGTTATATTGAATAAAGTCTGAATGTGGTGTGATGCCATAAATTATTGCCTTTCAACCTATGTCCTGCTGAACACAGGCAGGATTAGAAATGTAGTGTCTCGTTTAGCTCAAAGGGGAGTTTGGCTTCAGAAGAATTTAGGTGAGTTTTTTGAGGATCATTGCCCTGCTTTCTCTGTAAAACATTTTTTGTATTTTTGAGCTTTGTCTTAAATTGGTTCAGCAGCTCATGCAGCCTCTTTTTTTCTTGTGGCTGAAAACTTTGCAGAGTTCTCTTTCTACCATACATCTCAATCCTGAGTGACTTCTTGTTTTTTTTTGTTTTTGTTTTTGTTTTTTTGAGATGGAGTCTTGCTCTGTAGCCCAAGCTGGAGTGCAGTGGTGTGATCTCAGCTCACTGCAAGCTCCGCCTCCTGGGTTCAAGCGATTCTCCTGCCTCAGCCTCCTGAGTAGCTGGGACTACAGGCGCCCCCACCACCACACCTGGCTAATTTTTTGTATTTTTAGTAGAGACGGGATTTCACTGTGTTAATCAGGATGGTCTTGATCTCCTGACCTCGTGATCTGCCCGCCTCGGCCTTCCAAAGTGCTGGGATTACAGGCGTGAGCCACCACGCCCGGCCACTTCTTGGTTTAAAAAGAGAGAGATTTCTTTTTGTATCAAATTTTATTTTTTCTCTCTCAAGTAGTTTGTTAATTTTGAGAACAAAGTAATTATAATATTTCTGGGTTCCCATCATTAATACATTTTAGCACATCCATGTCTGGTGTCCGGTAAAACATTCTGTAGATGCATGAATATAGGCAACCCTAAATGTAAGGCGATTCCTCATTTTTCTAATAAAAAGACTGAAAAAGAGTTTTTTCCTCAACTTGATAACATGTAATTTTTTAGAATATAGATGAAATAGATCTTTTCTTTACATAATTTATTGATTTAGTTGTACATTACATTTTTAACTCACAGACAGTTGTTTAGAAATAATTCTTCCATACACATTTTATGAAATAATTTTGTTCAGACTCTTAAAAGACATCAGTGTTGTCATCACCAGAATTGTCTTGTTGAATCATGTCATACGGTTTTTCAGAATTTATCATCATCACTTCTGTTTAAGATGTTTGAGATACAGTACTTTAAAAATCTGCACGAGTGTATGTGACCATTAACTGCACTGTTTTCTAAATTACCCTTAAAAGGCTTATTTACAACAGTGTCAACACTCGCAACTCTGCGGGTCTAATCTCAGGAATAATTACAAAACTTACTGAGGTTCCTTTTTTTTCTGCCATTCTCTCGTTTTCTTTTAACCAGGTGACCTGTGAGAGTACCTAAGAACTAGCACTGATTAAGGTTGTATAAGGCTAAATAATGTGATTTTTCCTAGAAAATACTTTGTTTTTCTAAATAAAATAATTAAGAGAGCACCTTATAAGAGCTTTCTGTAAAATATTTGCATATCAAACTCCCTGTTTTCTGAAAGAGATTTTTTAGAGGAGGAAAGGGGAACAAACTCTTCCCTTAGGGTGGCTAATATACAGTAATAGAGTGTATTTTTTAGCATTTTCAACTTGGTTATCTTTAGTTGGACATTATGCAAATAATATCTGATGACATAGAATAGAGCATACACATACACCAGTGTGAATACCAGAGACATAAAGGGCAGAGGAGGCACTTTGTTCTGGCTACTTCTGAATTCTGATTGAGCAGATTTTAAGATTTATTTCTTGGGAAAGGATTGGGATTGCCAAAAAAAAATTTGAAAATAAGAAATCTGATTTTATACATAACCCAAGAAATTTGTTAAAATGGCATCCTTCAGAAGATTTTTAAAGTTATTATTGTTAGTACTTTAAAAATTATAATAGTGCTTATTAAAGAAAATTTGGGAAATACAGAGAAATAGAACAAAGGACTCTCGTAATTTTAAGAGAGATTTTGAAGGAAGTAGATTTTTAAAATAGCTTCTATTTTAAAATATGTATTGCTTCAGTGCTGACAATTGTCCTTTGACCAGCTAGGTTTATGGGCTTTACTTTGTTCTTTTGTTTTAGTAGTATCATAAAAACTAGAAATGCAGAGTTTGTCATGATACTGAAGTCATTTGTGCCAGTTGCTTTAAAAAATCTTTTATAAAAAACGATATGCTCTAATCCACCTACAGCTTTTAGTCTTCTTTTACACTGTGCAAGTGTCATTTTAACATTTTCAAAAGTTAGTAGTATATTGTAGCTACTGTTCTCTGGCCTGTCACTGAGTAATTCTTGCTTTGATTGTGTTGCCATGTTAATTGTTAAATGGATAAAGTCCTCAATGTAATTTAATCGAGGAGCCAAGCTTTCTTCTTGACCCAAATGATGATGTGGGTGTGGTCTCTCTTTTGTTTTGTTGTGTGCTTGAATTACAGTGGATAAATTCACGCACAGTTGTGCTCTTAGACAGCGTAGAGAAGTTGCATGTGATTGATCGGCAAACACAAGAGGAATTGGAGACAGTGGAGATCTCAGAAGTTCAGCTGGTCTATAATAGCAGCCATTTCAAATCACTAGCCACTGGAGGAAATGTTAGCCAGGCACTGGTAAGGATAATCACTTCTCTTGGTATTGCTTTGATAAACTTGGTATTTTGTTGTATTTGTTTTAGAAATAGGAACTCTGGGGAGTTACCTTTTTCTGTCTTGAGGTGTTTATTTAAAAGCCACTAGGTTGAAGTGGGTGTGAATGTGCTTGTAAGTTTTTAAGAATACAAGCTAAAACAATAATTTTTGTTCCCTTCTATTCAGAAATGTTACTTACTTAATACCAGTTTTAATTTTTATACTAAAATAATGAAGTATGGAAAATTTGTGAGAAAAACTGTAAAGTCAAAATATTTTTAGAAAGCTTAATTTGGCAGTAATAAGCCTGATAGATTTAAGGGATAAGTAACTACAGACAGGTACCCTATGAGGCTTTGGAAATATTTGAGTGATAATGGTAAAGGCTTGAACAGGTATGGTTGCTGTGGGTATTAAAAAGCAAAGATGGCTTCAAGAGAAAGAAGATACTCTAGAAATAGGTAATAGATGAGATGCAGGAGCCTAGAGAGAAGGAGGACACAACAGAGTTATGGCCTTAGCATTAATTTTATTGTATCGTTAAGCAACTACAATAATGGCCTTAAGCAATTTCCACAGATGGTTTATAGTTCAATCAACTTGAATTGTGATCTCATGTTCCTAAACCACAAATCTTTAAGTAGGAAATTTAGACCATTGTGAGACTTCCTTGGATCATTTTTTGAAAAAAATAGTAATGATGGTAATACTTAATGAGTGACTATAGCATGATGTGTAGGCTTTGCTCAAATCTCCCTCATATTAAAACTTCAGAGCGTAAAATATATATGAAAGGGTCTTCCAGCCTCCCACTTTAAAAACCAAGAAAAGTCAGAATAAGGAATGATAGTGCAATATAATTCACTAAGTGATAATAATAATTACTGTTCCATACTTTATTTTCTTGTGTTTGAATGGTGTTAAAAATACCAGTGGACTTTGAAATTGTACTTTTAGCCAAGATAGAGTTGTGGGGAATTAGATTTACTCTCCTGCTTGAAATAACCGAAGAAGGTGAAGGAGGAGGGAGGGGGAGGGGGAGGGGAAGGGGGAGGGAAGAAGAAGAAGAAAAGTAAACAGCAGTTCTTAAGACACTGGACATCTGTAATGACGGACAGCAATCTCACAAAATGGGGAAAAAATGCTGTGAACTCTGTGATTGTCCTAGCTTCCAGCCTCCAGAGGGCATCTGGGCTGTGGAGGAACCCAATTGGAGCCTAGAAGACTCCATGAGTTGAGAAGACACAGCTGAGATTGCAGGAAGACAAAATTGGGTTGAGTTTGCAAGAGAGAGTACTGGAGAAAAGAGCACTATGAAAGAGTCCCCCTTGAGTGTTCATCAGACTCCTAATCAGCAAATGCATAGAAGGAAGCTGCCCAAGGACCAGGAAAGAGCCATTTGAAAGGTTTAGAGGGAACCGTATCTAGTGCTTACACAGGGCCGGAAACAGTGCTTGTTACACCAGCCAGAATGGAAAGCTTCATGATTCACAGGACAGTGGGTAGAGACCTCAGAGTCGTCTTGCCTCATTAGGACTAGAATAAATGGCGCACTGGTCCCAGCTAACACATCTTAAAAGTAAGACCAGAAAGGATCAAACTGTTTCCAAATCACTTATGTTCTAGAACAAAGCACAAGAATATTGGCCGGGTGCAGTGGCTCACGCCTGTAATCCCGACACTTTGGGAGGCCGAGGTGGGCGGATCACAAGGTCAGGAGATCGAGACCATCCTGGCTAACACAGTGAAACCCAGTCTCTACTAAATATATAAAAAATTAGCTGGGCGAGGTGGCGGGCGCCTGTAGTCCCAGCTACTCTGTAGGCTGAGGCAGGAGAATGGTGTGAACCTTGGAGGTGGAGCTTGCAGGGAGCCGAGATCACCCTACTGCACTCAAGCCTGGGCGACAGTGAGACTCCGTCTCAAAAAAAAAGGAATACAGAAAGATCCAGAAACCAACAAGTTAAAATTCACAATGTCTCTCATCCAATTAGAGATTACTAGGTATGCAAAGAAGAAAAACAACCTATAATGAGGAGAAAAATAAAAACTAACTCACACCTGACATAAATGTTAGCAGACAAAGACATAAAAGTTATTATAACTATACTCTTTAGTTAAAAAAGTTAAGTAGAGACATAGAAGATATTTAAAAAGATGCGCATCAGACTTCTAGAGATGAAAACCAGTGCTTATAGATGAAAAAAAATGCACTGGTTGGGATTAATGGCAGATTAGGCAACACAGAAAAAACGATTAATGAATTTGAAGATACAACAGAAATTATACAAAATGAAACACAGAAAAATAATTTTAAGAAATAGTATTAGTGAACTGTGAGAACACGTCAGATAGCCTAATGTACGTGTAGTTACAATCTCTAAAGGAAAGGAGAGAAGAAATTGGAAAAAATAATGGTCAAAAACTTTTCTAAAACTGTAGACACACACGTTTAAGAAGCTCAGTGAACCCAAGCACAACTAAAATAAACTGTATATGAATTGATCAAAATTAGTTATAAGGAGAAAAATTTTAAAGCAACCAGTGGGAAAAAAAGACACATTAAATGCAGAGGAGCAATAATTATGAGAACACATTTCTCATCAGATAGTTGGCAGTGATCTGTAAAGATTTAGAAGTGGACAATGAACACTTGGGGCACTGCTCAACATCATTAGGTATTAGGGATCAAATACCTAATCAAAATCAAATGAAATACTGCTTCACACCCACTGGGAAGTGGGAAGGCTATCATAAAAAAAAGAATAACAAGTGTTGGCAAGGATGTGGCGATATTGGAAGCCTCATAGATTGATGGTAGGAAACCAAAATGGTGCAAATGCTGTGGAAAATGGTTTGGCACTTTATTAAAAAGTTAAACATTGAGGCCGGGCATGGTGGCTCTTGCTGTAATCCCAGCACTTTGGGAGGCCGAGGCAGGAGGATCACCTGAGGTCAGGAGTTCGAGACCAGCCTGACCAACGTAGTGAAACCCTGTCTCTACTAAAAATACAAAAATTAGCTAGACTTGGTGGTAAGCACCTGTAATCCCAGCTACTCGGAAGGTGGAGGCAGGAGAATCGCTTGAACCTGGGAGGCGGAGGTTGCAGTGAGCCGAGATTGTGCCACTGCACTCCAGTCTGGGGTACAGAGTGAGACTCTATCTTAAAAAAAAAAAAAAAAAGTTAAACATTGAATTACCAATCTGACCCAGAAGTTCTGCTCCTAAGTGTGTTTCCGAAAGAGTTGGAAATACATGCTTATATAAAAACTTGTATATGAACACACATAGCAGTATTGTTCTTCATAACTGAAGAGTGAAAACAATCTAAATATTCACTAACTGGTAAAGGGATGTACAAAATGTGGCATAGCCATTTAATAGAATACTCTTCCACAGTGAAAAGTATGACAACTGATACTTGGCTACAACATGGATGAACCTTAAAAATACTAAGTGAAAGAAGACATACAATAAGAGCACATTTTTGTTTAATTCTATTGATATAAAATGTCTAGAAAAGGTCAATGTAATTTAGAGACAGATGTACATTAGTGGTTACCTGGGTTTGGAGGTGGGAATGGGATTGACTACAGATGGGTACAAGGATCTTTGCAGAGTGATGATAATGTTCTCAAAATGGGTTTTGATAATGGCTGAACAACTGTGAATTTACTAAAAAATCATTGAATTGTGTGCCTAATGAGTGAATTTTATGGTGTATGTTATATCCCAATACTGTTGTTTAACAAAAGCAATTGACCGTCTAAAACAAAAATAATGTGTTGTGAAGTTTATGATCTATAGAAGCAGTATATTTAACAAAAATAGTACATAGCACCGGGATGTAGGAGATGAAAGTACATCATTGCAAGGTTCTTACAGCATATGTCAAACATTATTTAAATGTAGACTGAGATAAATTACACATTGTAAACTATAATCACTAAAAAAGACGTGTAACTAGTAAGTCATTAATAGTGACGAAATGTTAAAAAATACATTAAATACAAAGGAATTTTTTTTACCTTTTTTGTATGTATGTTTTTTTTCCAGGCTTTGGTTGGAGAGAAGGCTTGTTATCAATCCATCAGTAGCTATGGTGGTCAGATCTTTTATTTGGGGACAAAAGTAAGCTCTTTTACTCTGTGAGTTGGTATTTCTATGTATCGGGGTAGTTGAGGCTGAAGGAGATTGCTGGTAAAGAGGGCAGTATATTGCGAAGTGAATATTGATCAGCAATTATCCAAAATGGTTTGTGGTTAGGTAGTCATAATTTTTAGTTAATTATTTTTTTTTCCTCCACTTTTAGACATATTCTTTACTTTTGTTTAGGTGCTGGCTAATAGGATGCTTATTTTCTTGATTCAGAGTTGTGCTTTTGTAAGCTTCCTTCACATTTATGTTTTTATGATCAGGCAGCTACCTAATCGTCGATATTTGTCATGTAATTAAGATGGCTTTTAGCTTAGATCAGCCTAGGATGCTGATTAAAATGCATTGAGGTATTTGACTTAGAATAGAATTGTTGGAATAGGAACTTTTTGTATCTCAATTTATCTCAATTTGTTCCTGTGCTTTTTTAAAAATATGGAGAAACATTTCTTCATTATTAAAATTTAACCAAAATATTGCCAAGTCAGTAGAGGGAAATGAGCTTGGGCTTTCCTTGCTTCTTGTCCATGGAATTAACTCCTTCTTGGACTGTAGGCCTTTAAATATTTGACTTACTCTTTAATGTGGGTTCTAGGCCAGATGCGTTGGCTCACACCTGTAATCCCAGCACTTTGGAAGGCCTCGGCGGGCAGATCACATGAGGCTGAGAGTTCAAGACCAGCCTGGCCAACATGGCAAAACCCTGTCTCTAGTAAAAATACAAAAATTAGCCAGTTGTGGTGACAGGCGCCTGTAATCTCAGCTACTCAAGAAGCTGAGGAATGAGAATCATTTGAACCCCGGGGGAGGAGGTTGCAGTGAGCCGAGATCCCGCTGCTGCACTCCAGCCTGGGCCACAGAGTGAGACTCTGTCCCAAAAAAAAGAAAAGCGTTCTTGAAGACCCATTAGTAAATTCTAAGATATACTTCTAACTGTATTATGAAATGTTTTACTTAAAGAGCTGTCAAGTGAGATGTGGGACTATAACGAATGTATCTCCCAAAGAAGTCTGTTAAGGGTGATCATTTTAATTTCCATCTCTTTACTTTCCAGTCTGTTTATGTGATGATGCTGAGGAGCTGGAGAGAGGTGAGTTCCAAGTAATTTCACATGTCAGAGTTACTGAATTGATAGCTTCTTAACATTTCTGTTTTGACTTTTCAGAAGATTATTTGGTAAGCTTCTTAATTTCAGAATGTACATGAAAACTGTTATAGCTGTTAGGTACTTGATTTGCTAGAACTGACATTATAAGTTAGAATTAGGTTTGTCTACATATATTAGAAAATTCAAAATAATAGTGGCTTAAATAAGATTTCTGTGTCATGTAAAAGCAACCTGGAGCTAGGTGGTCCGCAACTGTTGTAGGAATTCCATAAGCTTAAGCGTGCTGTCCTGTTCCACCATGTTTGTCTTTGATGTTCTGGTCTCAGGGTCATTTTATAATTCAGTGTGGTTGCTAGAGCTCCAGCTGTTACCACATTTTAGGAAGGAAGAAAGAGAAAAATAAAGGATGTCTCCTACCTCTTAAGATGACATCCCAGAAATACCAGACAACACTTCCACTTGTCATTAGCCAGAGCTTAGTCACATTGTTCCCAGTGGCTACGAGGTAGTCTTAGAAATATCCTTCAGCTGCTATATTGCTGTCTCAAATAAACATGGGGTTTGTTACTACCAAGGAGGGAGAAATCAATGTTGTGATAAACAACTAGCCATTTCTCCTACAATGACATTCCAGCTATTACCCCTTTTCATATTTAGGCCCTGTGGCTGTCTATACTAGCCTATACAGTCACTATACTATCTAGCTTTAAGATATTTTTCTTTGAAATAAGATATTCACATAATTATTAAAATAATTTTTGCCACTAAGCAGCAACTTCTGGAAAGATTTGAGGTGGAATAGGAATTCTGACTGGTGACTGGTCGGACAAAGGGGTCTGATTTCTCTCATTTTTCCATTTAGAGAGTGGATCATCTCCTGAAACAAGATTGTCTTACAGAAGCCTTGGCTCTTGCATGGTCTTTCCATGAAGGAAAAGCAAAAGCTGTAGTGGGTGAGTAGACAGAATTACAGTGTAGTAGATATGGTTCTCCTGGAGTAGAGGGAACGGATAGTACTAACCACTCACAGGACACTTTTAGCTGAGTGTTCAAGTGTTTATAAATTTATAAACAGGATGCTATTAAACCTTATAGACTTTCAGTTAAGAAGGTTAAGGTGACAAATAGAGGGTATAGAAATTAAAATGTCACTTTAAAAATTATTTTGTAAGGAAATTACTATTAGAACGAAAGAGAACTACATTGATGTGCTATCTGGTCCAGTAGATATGAGGTGTTCCTATTATGGTGTATTATCCAACATTTTGATACCTAAGGATTGTTACAATTATACCTGATGTTACACGTCTTATGAATATGAAACCAGACATAGTGTCACTACTAAAGATATGGACTAACTTTTGTTTTTTTGTTGGATTTTCCTTCTCTGCAGGATTATCAGGGGATGCCAGTAAGCGAAAGGCTATTGTTGCAGACCGGGTGAGTGTTTTAATAGGGCCTTTACTAGAATGCAGTACAGATTTGCTTTTGGCATTTGCTCATATCTTTGGGCATGAGTAGGTAAATGGCTACAATCTAGGAGAGAGTGTATTAAACACACACACACACACACACACACTTGGGGTCAGGGGTTCAAGACTAGCATGGGTAAAATAGCAAGACCTCGTCTCTACAAAAAATAAAAAAATTAGCTAGGCATGGTAGTATGCACCTGTAGTCCTAGCTACTTGGGAGGCCGAGGCCAGAGGATCACTTGAGGCTAGGAGTTCAAGGCTACAGTTGAGCTATGATTGCGCCACTGCACTCCAGCCTGGGTGACAGGAGTGAGACCTGTATCTTAAAAAAAAAAAAAAAAAAAAAAAAAAAATTCCGGTTACAATTCTCTGTGTCATCTTGAATACTTTTAAAATTCTTTCTTAATCACCTTTTCTTTTTCCCTTGCTCACTCTTTTATGAAGATAATAAAGTACATAGCCAAAAGCCAGCAGGAAGGAGGAGGAAGAAAACCTGGGAATCTGGATTATTTCTGAACCAAGTAATAGGCCAGAGAAAATTGACATTTGTCAGTTTTTATGAACTTATTAAGTAACTATGAGAAATACTGTATGTGCAATGTTTGTGTTGCCCAGAACCAGCAGAGAGGGTTAATGTTTTAATGTTATTATCAATTAGCATCAATATAATTGATGCTATTTAATACTGACTTTCCGTTCCTACTCCAGACTGGGCTGAATTAATTGACTATAGTATTTCTTCCCTTTTGTTGTGTAAATGCATTGGTAAAAATTATATTCCAGATTAATAGAAACATTTGTAGAAAACTTGGATAGAAGTCGGTCACTCCTTAGACTCCGAATGATTTGCTCATCTGTACTCTTTAGGGAAACACCTAAGGCAGAGGATTACTGAAGAATTTCAATGTTTCATTTTCTGAGCAGTGTAGATACCACTGAGGTCTAGAACATAGAGATATTTCTTAAGAAAGATTAGCAAATTAGTACTAGCCCTGAGGCTGAAAGAAATGAGACTAGAGTTTTAAAAAGTTGGTAAATAAAGCCACTAACATTTTCAATTATAATTTTAATATAATAAAATTCGAATTCTATATTATTTAGGAGGGCCACATAAATATTGAAAAACTTTAGAGATATATTTTAATGGCTATGCCAGGCTATTTTCCTTACAGATGGTAGAAATCCTATTCCATTATGCAGATCGAGCTCTGAAAAAGTGCCCAGACCAAGGAAAAATCCAAGTGATGGAGCAGCATTTTCAGGTACACGTTTGCATGTGCTTCGGTAGACAGTGCTCTGGATAGGTCTAATACTGCTCTTTTATGTCACTTGAGAATGTGACTTTCATTTTTGGTTAAACATGTTTTTAGTATTCAAAACTTTATTGAAGGGCTTGTAGAACATTCTAAATGATTATATTTTTAAGTAATGGGTATAAATGAGTAAAATGTTGTGGAGTGTTACTTAGCACTTAGCTACTTAGTGCTGTGTGGAAGGAAAGGATATACGTGTGAAGATCCTTTCCTGTAAACTGATACCTTATAGTGGCTGACATCTTGCTGGTGACTGATATTTATGTTAACTAGATTATTTAGTACTGCCAAGGTTTAAATTTAGTTCTCCTAGGAGCACCTATAACTTAAGAATAATAGATCAATCACAAAAAATATATATATGATCTATAAAATATGCTAACGAAAGACCTTTAGTTTATCTTGGAACTTAATGAAAATGAAAGCCGAAGAACAATGTACAGACGTGTATAGTATTTATTATGCAGGTTTTTCTTTCTGCAGTGCTCTCCGGTTATATTCATTGCACATCTCTGTTCCCCATTCCTACTGCTCCTTTCCCTCTCCCTACCTCCTCTTTTAACAAATATTTGAGTGTCCAACACAGGGGTCAGCAGACTTTTTCTAAAAAGACTCAGATGGCAGAGTTTAGGCTTTACAGGCTACAGTGGTCTCTGTCACATCTTTTTCTTCCTTTTTTTGTTTTTTGATTTTTTAAGCAACTCCTTAAAATTATAAAGTCCATTCTTAGCTGTGAACAATACAGAAACAGGCTTTGGGCAGGATTTGGCTAAAGTGTGTGTCCTGCGGTCTAATAAGTACTTGGTACTGGGCAATAGTGGGTGGAATTTACATGATCTTTACTCTCTTAAAGTTTGTAGTCTAGTCAAAATAATGTTTTTTTTTGGTTTACATTAATGGAAATATTTAGAAGAAATCTAGGGATTTTGAAGTTCTAAAGAGCAGGCACAGGTCCTATCTTTTTATATTCTATTTGATGCTTGTAACATTGGAAGACAAGAATAGATATGGCAGTTAAGAGTTGGCTGGTATCAGAGAAGCATTTGGCTTCCTAAACTGTACTGTTCAATGCCACACTAGTGAGCTTCTGGTAGAGTAAGTGTTATTACTCTGTTTGACTGGATGCTTATTAATCAGTAGAGAAGGAGAAATAAGCCTAGATAATAATTGTAAAAATAAATAAGAAGACATATGGTAGAAAGAAAGCATTTGGGAACAAAACTGTTTGGAAACAATACCTTATATATAAATACTTGTGTATACCAACGCAGTATAGATAGAAAACTTAATATTTGTAACAAGAATATACCTATCAGCAATAGCTTGTAGGAACTCTGGCCATTGGAAGGTATATTTTGTTGAAAAAAATCATCTAGTAGAAAAAACTAGGAGGGGTGAATGGAATGAGTATGTGTGTGTGTGGAGAACATAGAAACCACCATGTCAGGGAAAACGTGGTAGAGAGCTTCTTTCTAAAAGACGAAAGGAACAAAGGTGATGTTCTGATGGAGAAATAGTAAAGAATCTCAGATACAGGAACTATAGATGGTAGTTTCTGATGCAGACTGCAGAATGTACAGAGAAACAAATGTTAGTAGTAATGTGCCCTGTAACCATCTAGCTACCTGTTAGAAGTCTCATTCTGTTGGTAGGAATATTTGATAAAATTTTTGATTTATCAGTGATTTAGTCTCATAGGAGGTAAAGGAAACAATGGAGGCGGCTATTTCTCTGGATTTAATTTTTACTAATGATTGGGGAAGTAGAAGAGATAGACCCTTGAGAGAAGAATTATCACTTTATTTTAACAATCATAATAATGATGAAAAATATACATAGCATGAGTCCAGTATTTTAGAAAGCAAATATCTCAGAAAAAAATACGGATATAATCACATGGCTACAGGCTCCAAAAAAAGAATGAATTCACAAGGAACAGGAAATTCTAAAATTTTGACCATTCAAGGAGAAAGTAATGTTGAAAGAAGGTTCTACCTGCAAATCACAGAACATCTATAAATATGGAGAAAGGCGTATAACTAAAGATACATACCAGAAGTATCATGAACTTGTAAGACTGTCAGAAAGGAGAATGATATGGCCCAGACTGTGCCTACCAAAATGCTGTGGAGTACAAAATAGGAATTTTTAGCACAGATTTACTGAGCACATACGATGTGCCAGGTACTATGTAAAGTGTGTGACATGTATTTTTATTCTCACAACCACCCCAGGGAGTAGGTGTCATTTTTAATCCCCATTTTATAGATGAGGAAACAGGCTTAGAGGAGTGAAGTGAAGTGAAGTTACAAGGTAATATTATAGTAAATGGTGGAGCCGGGACTCATATCCAGGTCTTTGTGACTTCAAAGCCCAGTTCTTAACTAATCATTGTATTATATTGTTATTTTAAGAGCAAGCACAGGGAGAAGATGAGTGAGAAGGTATGATATTAATAAATGACCAAGAATGAGAATTACAGCAAGCATCTAAACTGTTTAATACTTAACTGTGTGGCAGGCACTGTTACAGACCCTTTATACATGTTTATTAACTCATTTAATTCTTATCATAACTCTGTAAGGTGGCTGCTGTTACTATTCACATTTGTAAATGACGCCAAGGCACAGACAGGTTAAATGATTTGTTCTAGGTCACAAAGCTAATAGAGAGCTAGGATTTGAATTCAAGCAGTGGGCTTCAGGGTTCACATCCTGACTGCCGCACTATGCCATAGAACAATGCTCCTCATTTTGACTCCGTTTTCGTGACCACAGAGAATGGTTTTAAAGTGGATAAGTCCAGATAAGTGTATTTAAAAACTGAAGCCTACCATATGTAATATGTTATATCATTATGATTGTTCAACTCTCAAGACCCAGTAGAATTATAATCCATGATACTGTTGAAATAGTCTGGGCCAACATGAATAATTTGCAGGTAACTTTTCATCAGTTTTCAAATAAGGCATTCTTGATTAGTGTGGAGTATATACAGGGAGATACAATTTATTTCATTCAGGAGGACAGTTTTCTTCTGGAAAACGTGACCTTCAGTGCATTAGGATGGGCGAAATGCATGCACTGTCAGCCAGTGCATGTTTGTTTCGTTTAGTCATATTTAATCATAAAATAATTATATAGGTTGACTTTTAAAGTGTGTGTGTTTTTTTTTTTTTTTAGTAGAGTGGACTTTGGAGACTATCTCCTGACATCCCTGATGTGATTTGTGAATGTTTTCCTTGAATTCACCTCAAAACAACCATGTTAAACTCATATAATTACCTTTTTGAAAGGAATATA